CAAACATTTCCTTTAGCTTTAATTATGACTACCTATAAAGCATACTACCCTGCTAGATCTGAAATACAGGATTTGTGCTTTGTGTAAGATCTCTTCCGTAGATAACTTGTTTTTGTTCAGCAAACTTCTGGAGTGAGCCTGCTTGCGGAGTAGGGCGGCCTAGAAGTCCAGTATAATAAATAAATTAAATGCTTACAAGCAGCCTGTGCTCCCTTGCAGAACTGCATGTGCAGTGTGTTTAACCACTGAATAGGATTGGGACGTGAAAGTGTCTGCACTTCCACTGGAACTCTAAATAGTGATTCTTGTCATGTATAGGTAGTGCCCTGGATGTGTAACTTTGTGCTCTGATCAAAATTCTGTAACTTTGAAATGGTACTGAAAATAAACTTGATACATATGTTGTTAGGGTGTTCGCAGAAATTTCATGTGATGGTCTGTGATTCTGTTGGTGGCATGAAAAATGTGAATGCAAGATGCTCATTTAGGTAGCACCCACTACAGTGTGTAATAGTGTAGTAATTAGAAGATCTGCAGTAGATTATTCGGTCAGTTTTCCTCCCAAGTGTAGGATGTTGTTGGCAAATTTTAAAGCTCCTTTGAACTAAAGTATGTAGGGGAAAATAGTTGAAATGACGACCTCCCAGGATCGCATCTGGAGAGCTTCCCATAACTCTTCCAGTTTCGGACACGGGAGGGAGAGAACCTGCAGTGAAATACCCATTCCTTTGCTGGCTTGATAATAGGCCAGTGAACGGAAGATAACTCTGCGACAAGCTTAGTAGGTTCCTTTACTGCCATTTGGATGTAGTAACTTAAAAGTGTTTGTTTTTCTGTAGACAACATGCCGGCCCTCAGACCCCTCATCAAACCTAAGATCGTCAAGAAGAGGACCAAGAAGTTCATCCGCCATCAGTCCGATCGCTATGTCAAAATCAAGGTGGGTCCACTTGTGGTGAAGATGTGTATAATGGGGTACATGTGAATCATTTATTTATTTATTATATTTATACCCCGCCCTCCCAGCCATGGCCAGCTCAGGGCGGCTTACAGCAGGGTAAAACAATGATAACAATGACATGACTGATTTACAGCACAACAGCACTGACAACTACATATAAACAAATTATATTTACACATTGCTGGGGGGGGGGGATTTTTCCCACGGAAAATGTATAACCAGAATTTTTTTCACCCCATATGACTGATCACTGACATCCTTTCCTGCAGTAGAAAAGAGCAAGAGTTTGCTGGTGGGTTTGCAGTGTTGGTTTAACAAAATAATACGAGTTCTAAAGATACACTACGGCTGCTTTGGGATTTGTATAACGTATCCGTTTTATAAATGTTAATTTTATTTATTGCATTTTTGTAGCGTAACTGGAGAAAACCAAGAGGTATTGACAACAGGGTTCGTAGAAGATTCAAGGGCCAGATCTTGATGCCCAACATTGGGTATGGTAGCAATAAGAAGACAAAGCACATGCTGCCTTCAGGGTTCAGAAAGTTTCTTGTCCACAATGTCAAAGAGTTGGAGGTGCTGATGATGAGCAACAAGTAAGTTGGGGGAAACTATCTGGAATAGTTGCTTCTTGGAGTTGTGATGTAATTTTAACAAGTGGCGATGCTCTTCCTGTGAATTTGGGTAAAGGAGTATTAGGTAGGGTAGACATTGAAGAATTCACTCTTTACATGATTGTTGCATATTTTTGAGCATTCTAAATCAGAGTGTCTGTCTGCGTTCCTCCAGCGGTATTTTTGAAGTAATGTGATTCTCGATTGGACTTACACCTGATCGAACTTCCAGTTCATGGTAACATAAGACCCCTACTGAGTTTCCCCAAAGATCTGTCTGGTCCAGCAGCAGATGCCCTGTGGTTGGCCTCTGTTGTTGGAAACAGAATACTGGACTAGATGTTCCCTTGATCTGTTAAACAGAGCAAAAAAGCAGTAGCAGGGTGGCTGGGCTAAAGTATCATACTGAGCTCCTTAGAAGGGCAAGATACAAATAGAATAGACTTGAACAAAATTGTGAAGCCAATCTTGTATGCTGCATGTGGAACCAAGCTTCTGGAACAGTTTCCCACCTTTCCTTTCTTGCTGTAGTTTGTGCTCCCTAAACTGTATCTTCTGGGGTTTGGTGAACCCTCAGAAAAAGCATAGAGTGCTACATGGGGTCTGCAGTGAGGATGGGACTCTTCAGAGGCATTGCTTGTGCAAGTAGAACAGCCACTGTGCATACTGATACTGGGAATAATGCAAAGATGTAGGTATGTCAACTTGGCTTGGGAGTGTACCGATTCCAAATCTGTAAGTAGGTCTTTGGAGAGGAAGGTCTGTGTCCTTTGTCGGAGCCTGATGTGGAGCAGGGCATTTGGGAGTGGGAGGGGAATGGAAAGATCAGTTCTTCCACTTTGTACGGCCAAAATTACTGCTTAACAATTTAGAACATTCTTGCTTCTACAAAGCAGACGAATACCCTGACATCACTGTTTTCTCTCCTCCATCAGGTCCTATTGTGCAGAGATTGCTCACAATGTTTCCTCCAAGAATCGGAAAGTAATTGTGGAGAGGGCAGCTCAGGTTGCTATCAAGGTTACCAATCCAAATGCAAGACTGCGCAGCGAGGAGAATGAATAGTTCTTACACAACAATATTTAATAAAATATCAAAAGTACTGAAAATGATGTTTCATTTGAGTTTCATTGAACTGAGGTGGTATGATTCTTAAAGGGTGAAAGCCAGTAACTGGCAACATTAGCCCAAGCTTGCCTTCAGTAGGATATTGCAGTCTAGGTTTGCCTGGTCCCCTCATCCTTGTGGTGGGAGGAGTTGGGAGGCGTTCCGGGGGTGACTGGGGACACCCCCAAGCTGCAGCCACCCCTCCTGCAGAGATTTAAATGGCTTTAGCTGATGGCTGGAAGGCCCTTTAAATCAGCAGGGAAAGGGGCTGTCACCAGCTGCAGCTCTGCTCACAAAAAGACCCTTTAAAGCAGGGGTGTCGAACTCATTTGTTATGGGGGCTAGATCGACAAAAATGAGACCTCGTTGGGTTGGGCCATATGTGTCATAAAATGTAATGCCAGGTAACGGAGATATAAACTTTATAAAGGACACAAATGGTTTTTTTTAACTTAAAATAAACACATGCTTAGAACATTAGCACTCTTGCAATATTTTGTTTATTTAACAGTGATAACTGACACCTCTTGCTCTGAATTATTGCATCAAAATGTCTGTGCTGTTGCAGTCTTGAGTATGCTGTTCAGGTGTGTATCTGTAAGCTGCAAACCTACGATGATGCAGCAGCAGAAGACCGCCAGTTCCATTGCGGTCCTGATAGAAGCCCCTCTAGGGGCCTGATCCAGCCCCCGGGCCGCATGTTTGACACCCCTGCTTTAAAGGGTCTTTTGCAAGCAGAGTGTGCAGCCTGTGACAGCCCCTCCTTCCAGTTGATCAATGGGGCACATGCTCCCCACCAATTAGCTGAAGCCCTTTAAATCTATAGGAGAGGAGGGAGAGAGGTGGCCATGCCTGGGTGGTGGGGCTTCCCCACGCTGGCCAGGGGCGCATTAATCACGTTTCAGAGTGTAGCTGTGCTGGTCTGCAGTAGAACAGCTAGGTTTGAGTCTGGTAGAGCTGGGCTTTAAGGGAATGACTTTCTAAATGCAGTGATGCTAATTCAAGAGGAGTACTTGAAGTCTGACAGTAAGGGATGCAAACCAGCGGACTTGCTGTTTCTCCAGAAATTTACATTCTGTTGGTAGCAAAGGCAAACACTGAAGCTAATCAAATAATGTTAAAGATAATACATGATATTTATTTTTACCAGATGCGTTTCATGTACGATGGAAAGTGACACCCTGTTTCATAAATAGAGCACTTACGTGATTCACAGAATAACTCCTAAGGAATAAATTCTAACGAAATTTAGCAATCCATGGTCACAAGAAGTCGTTATTCTCTATTTGCCGAACAGCAATAGCTTGTTCTTACAAACGGAGCTGAAAGTGCTTGTGGATCTTCTCCCCCTCTCCTGAGAACTGTCTCAGAGGCCCAGTGCTATAGGGCCCAGCAGGGTCTAGTGAAGACGGGGGAATAAAAGCAAGGAGGGCAGTGTCACATTTCTTTCATTTCATATCTGCCGCCCCCCCTTCCCGGGTGCCTCGTTATATTTTGTCCATGGGCCTTCGAAGACGGGGGAATAAAAGCAAGGAGGGCAGTGTCACATTTCTTTCATTTCATATCTGCCGCCCCCCCTTCCCGGGTGCCTCGTTATATTTTGTCCATGGGCCTTGCTTGATGCTGAGTTTCACCTTTCTGGAGTTCACAAGAGATGACTGGGAGAAAAGATGCACAAGTTCTCAGAATCCAACCCAACAACATTTCTTTAATGGTACAAGAGCATTTGCATTTTTATAACTAGGTGGTTCCATTATTACAGATGAACGGCTCTTGGAGAAACATGCTAACTTTTGTGGTTTGAAAATCATCAGTGCTTTGGTATCAGCTTCTCAAGTAAACTGTCGCCAGAGGGCACCTATAGGAGGAAACCACTGTTAAAAGGAGTGTGGCAGACTAGAACGGCATTAAATAAGCATAAGGCATTCCATACTGAATGACAGTGAGACACTTTCACAGTTTCAGATGCTGGATTAAAAGGGGGATCAGGTGTAACTTAATTCATCTTGTCAGTATGAAAGTGACTCAAGTCAGTCTAAATATTAGTACAAATGAAAGCTGCTATTTAACCAATATGACTAATGGAAGCTGAATTGCCATTTGGCTAGTCTTGGGTATAGCAGGGTTTTATTCATCACTGTTTTTTAAAATGCTATTGTGGTGCTATCACCACAAATAGTAATGGGATAATTCTATTGGCTATCAGGCTCTACCTAAATCAGCTGGAGTCATTTGTACTTTTTTTGGCAGAAACACGTGTATTTGCTTTATGGGAGTAACAAACTACTGCTGTCCTAATGACATCAACAGGTCAAGCTATCATGCCTGAATCCATGCCCTTCTTAGTAGAAATAGTGGCCATTTTAAAAATGGCACCGACAGCTAAAATCATCCTTCGAAGATCTTCCATCCTCAGTTAACTGAACTGTGTGGTAGGAGAACAGGGAAGAGGAGTTTAACTCATGTCCATTAATTCTGTGGTAGACAGTGAAGTAGAATCCTTCTGAATGCTTTCAAAGAGTGAAGACATTTCAGGGTTGGCTCTGATTTGTGAAGAAAATTCAGCCATCACAGGACTCTTATCTACATCAGGGATGGTCAGCAAAGCAGCTACTGCCCTCATTGCTGAACGCTTCAGTTCATCTTGTTTCTCAAACTCTTGCTTCACAGAACCAGCTTTTACCTAAAAGAAAGGAATAACATTTAAAAACAAGATAAAACAACTTCAAATTCTTCAGGTCAAAGGGATCCTGTCACCCGTTATCATGTGTCCAAGAACGAAGAGAGAAAAAAAGATGGAGAGAAAGTAATCTGGGATGTACTAATGCACAAAATAATGCCGTTAAAATTCACAGTAATCAGGGGTCCCATTGGGTTGATATGAATGAGAAGGAGAGAGGGAACGGCCCAGTATCTCCTGTAAGGATCAGGTCACAGGTGATGTGGAAGATCTCTGCCTGTGACCCTGAAAAGCCACTGCCAGTCTGAGTACACAATACTGATGGTATGATTCAGCAGAAGGCAGCATCATGTGTTCAAATACAGAAGTAAACAGATTCCCATAGTGACTACTGCCATGTTATCTTTGCCACACAGGAATCTGTCTCTTCAAAGCAGACTTCTCCGCCAGATACCCATGAAAAGCATCCCCAGCTGCTCCTGTGTACTGGCTTTCATCTCTGCCATACATGTGGTGGGTGGAGAGGATGGCTAACTGCCTTTCCATAAGCAGCAGCATTAAAATAATCAGTTTTAGCTATAAGCAACACCCCAATTCATCAGCCTGAGAATCCGAAATGTATATGAAATGATGGTCCAGAAACTGGGACAAATGAAGGAAGCCCAAAGCCCCAGTAAGATTAGATAAAGCTTTGTCATACTATGACCTTAATGAACTGCTAAAGTAGGAATAAAAGAGAATATACATGCAATATTTCTTATGCTGCATAACAAGAGTGTCTATGAAATACTCTTTATTGTGGGTGATCTCTACCCATTTTTATGATAATACTGTTCTTAGTAGCCACAAACAGGACTGAAGCATTAGCTAGCCACAGCTGGAGCAACGCTGATGGTAAATTCTTTCTGTGGACTACAAAAGTGTGTTGAGCTATACCCGCTATTTCCTAAGAAAATGACATAAGTTACTGTTCCTGTGTGCAATGGTCTATCCTAAGACTGCCTGGGACTATGAGCATATAAGCAAATGCTCCACGGAAAGAACACATTCTGAAACTTCTTAGTGCAATTACCTTTGTAGAGCAAGTTGCTCGTAGGGGCTCAATGAGACGTTCTAACCGTTGTAGTACTGCGTTAGGACACAGCGTTGACAGACGAGCCAGCATAATGAAAGTCAGCATCTATGAAGAATGTTGAAAGAGAGGTTGCACAAGCAGTACTCTGAAGTCCTCCCCACCCCAAAGATTTCTGGTTCTTAAGGTGGCAATAACTCAGTTTCATGTAATCAGTTTTCAGTCTAAAGCTTTACATTTCAAAAGGATTTATTGTAGAAAAGCCTTTGGCATTGAATGTTCTAGTATAGCAAATAAACAGACACACACACACCCCAGTGTGCAGTGAGATTCACAGCAGACCCTGGTCTGCATGCTTGCTTCCCATTTCTCCCACCCTGCATAGAAGGGGATGTCAAAATTTGGATCTTTTTATTTAAAGTACTGTATCCCACACTTTTTGTAGTAATGTATTCGAGGTGATCTGTAGCATCAATTTAAAACAAAGGCCTGAGCTCCATGATAAATCTCCACTAATGGAAGGCATTTCCATCAGCGGAACAGGATTCCCTTAACACCTTCTACAGCCTGTAATGATTCCAAAAATCCTGTTTCTGGGGGACCAAAGAACCTAAGGAGCAGCATGACTGGGGAGTCGGAGACGTGCAGTGGCAAGGGGGAACTGCCAAAAATCCTCCCTGTATCCATTAGAAATGTACTTAGGGATTTAAATCAAGAAAGTAATACAAAACTACTAAATAACAGCAAATTACCAATAAAACTTGAACATAAGAATAGTAATCAAGAAATAAGAGAAGATAGTGGGATGTACAATTCCATTTACACTTTTGAGTATACTACCTAAAGACTTTGAAAAAAGCAATAAATACTTAATTATCAACTTTACTACAGTGGCAAGAATGTTATATGCCAAATACTGGAAGGCACAAGATGTACCAAAAAAGCAAGAATATATACAAAAACTGATGGAAACAGCGGAAAGTGATAAATTGATTTTGTTGATGATAGAATCCACAAACTACACATTTCAGAACACATGGAGGCGATTTTATAATTGGTACAATAGTGCAAACAATTGTAACCTAAAAATGTAATCCCTAGAGTAAAGTAGATCATTGAAATAGCAGGTACAGATGTTGGTTTTAAGATACAAAAATGTGAGCTCATAGAAAATAATGTTATGTGATACTATATTAGAGAATATCTAAGAGGCAATTATTGGAAACATAAGCATTTGATAACCCCATTTGTGTTATATGTGTGTATGTTCGGTTTGTCTGTTATGAAAAAACAAATAAAATTCTACCCTTTGAGGATAGATTAAAAAAAGAAAAGAAATAACATCCTGAAAGCAGTAAAAAGCAGCAAAACCAACATAAAGACCATCAAAAGGTTAAAGATGGAATGAAACAGAAATAATGGAATGGATTAAAAAGGAAGGAACCACAGATAGTCAGTTAAAGGAAACAAAGAGACAAAAATCTCAGTCAACAGCAATCTTTCTCCAGTGGATAAAAGACTGTAAATACGTCAGTAGGGGATCCTCAGGGAGGGGATTTCAAACTCACAGAGTAGGAGCACAAAGAGCAAGGCTTCCTCCAAAGAGGATCTCAATCAGCAGGCAGATTTATACTCAAGGCGGCAGTCCTTCAGGTCCCCTGTTCAAGGCTGTGTAGAGATTTACAAATAACAACCAGCCCTTTGAATTAACCTAGGATGTAGACTGACAGCCAATTAAAAAAAAAATCTTTAAACCTGGAGAGAGATGGCCAGCATCTTACACCTGTAAGTAGCCTTGCCACTGCATTTTGAACCTGCTGAAGCTTTCAGACTTCAAAGGCAGCTCCACATCAAGCACATTGCAGTAAGTCCCACCTCATTATGGTCAACACATGGATAACTGACCTCTTGAGGAAAGCCTGAAGCTGGCAAAACAGACAAAGCTGGTAAGAAGTACCATGTGCTACAGCGGAGATCTGCTCCATCATTGCAAGTCTAGATCTAATACCAACCCCATCGGATCCTGGTCTTGAAGGGAGAACACAATCCCATCCTGAACAAACTGACTTCATAAACTCAGTTGGCCCAATTATAAACCAACAAGACCAGTCCGGATCAAGCACTTTATTGGTCCCCATCTGATCATCATTACTGACTTCAATCATCATTTCAGTTGGAATGTCCACCAACGACCAGTGTCTCAAGTAGAAACAGAAGGTAATATTCAGACTTAACTCCATTAAACCCAGGTATTAACACCACTAGAGTTAAGGGTTTCGGTAATGTGCATTACCTTTACCTTAATGTGCATTAGGGAGCATCCCACATTCAAACATCCATTATCCAATGCAGGCATCCATTTTTGTCTGGGGCATGGGAAGGAAGTGTATAATCCTAAAGTATCACTGCATGGGGTTCAGAGCATTCACCCAAACCACCCCAAAAGTAACTAAATTAGAGACAGTACTGCTGACAGGACAAGACAGTTACCCTGATATCATAATGATCTTTCAGCCCATCTTCCACGTGATTCAAGTACTCATAAATATCCAGTCGGTCAAGACAGCTTTCCAGAAGCGTGTACATGCACTCAAAGGCAGCTTTCCTCACATCAAGGCCATCATCCACTGTGTGCTTGAATGGCCCCATTTCTACCTTAAAAAGGAAAGAAGAATATAGTCGGCTGTTCAAAGAGGGGTATGAGCCTGGCAATGCATATCTTCTATGGCCAATATGCACAATGCAGAGCTCTGTATCTCTGGACACATTCAAAGCCCTTGTACTGAACACGGACTGTACCACGTAAGATGCCACTGATGACTACTACTACCCATGATTACCCTCTTGCATTCTTTTTCAAAAGTCACTGAAAAGATATATGATTTTTACGTGGTCAGATTAACAGAACTCGCTGTAAAGTTCTAACTAGCAACGTATGCATGTGCTGTCAAGACCTATCCACTCACCCTGTGATAACACAAATGTTGGCACTCCCATCTTACATCCCTTTATGTCTGTGTCTCAGTGGTCGCTCCTGAGATGACTGCCTTATCACTGCAAAGTATTTTACAATATGAGGGGGAGGTAACAGTTTTAGCTTTAATACACATGTCATGTTACTCTGTTTTATTTCAAGATGAAGAGGATCCATGACGGTCTGGTAACAGAAGTCAAACACTTCCCACTTTAAAAACATAATAAAAATGAGTGAAATTAGTCTGCCAAATCATCACCCCTGTTTTTGGACTGTGCATTGAGAACACATAAAATGTTTATGGATGGTCTCCATTTCTTTGGTACTAATCCAGATCAATCCATGGAATGGAGAGGGAGCAAACCACACATATTATGGTCAGAGTATATGAATCATACCAAACAATGACAACAACATTCGTGTCACCTTTCTCTCTAGGAGGGAGAAAATATGGAAATGGTCTAGGTCCATACCTCCCGTATGAGTTCCCTTCGAATCTTGGTTTCATTGTATAGGTGGGGAAGGACCATGTTGAGCTGGTCGCGGATTAGAGAAGGTTTGTTGTGAGCAGCAGAATTAAACATGGCTAAAGCAACACGCCGAACATTCAGATCAGAATCCTGAAGTGTTTTTAGGAAGTCACCTGCATGACAATAGCACAACATCAAGGGTTCTTTTAAAGGCAATATACCATCAAGCCCTTGCACCATTTTTAGATCTGTTTAAAATGGCAACAGCCACTTAGACCATGGATGCTCTCGTGTCTACTTTGGGCCTAAGTCCTACAGAAACAGGTTTCTATACTGGGAAGAAATATGCAAAAATAATGACGGCATTTATATGGAACTTATATGGATCCACCCAGATCACAGCTTCTTTTCTCAGTCACTACCCTTAATGGCACCAAAGGCTCAAAGGGTACCGTTTCCCCAAATATCGTCTGCCTGTTACGGAGAGTCAGTGTGCACCATGCATGGATCAACCAGTACTGTTAATTGTCAGCCAAGAGGGCAGGGAAGGGAGAACCAGAGAACAGTCCCAGGACCCCCCTGCTTTTAGCTGCCTAACACGGTGTTTGTGTCTGTAGTTGAGGCAACTTTAACCACAGCCTGACAGGACCTTTCATAATAGGGTAAGCCAGGCCCCCTGGCCACCAGCAGAGGATGGGGGGATGCTGCAGGCACTCAGCACTGCAGTGCCCTGGATCAGGCCTGGAGAGTGCCCTAGGTTTTACTTTCTGATTAATGAAAGTTACGCAATAGGAGGTGCAAGAAACAAAATCTGACACACTGCTGATGTTTGGAATAATTTCCACCCCACTCATAAGTAGATAAATTTGATTTTTAAAAGAAGTATTAATAGTGCCTGTTTTTCTGATTTCTGTAACAAACCAAGCTTACCTATGCATCCTTTAAGAAGGGGATCAATAGGCTGTGGCTGATCTGAAATGGTGAATTTGATTGCAGTTACCACAGTGCTTCGAGCATAAGGGGAACCTACAATGAAAAAGTAGGAAAGAATCATTGTCTTACGAAAAGACATCAATGTTAATTTGCAACAGACTCCATTTTGCTACTGTTATTGTTCTGATTTCCACCCCTCTCCTCAAATCACAACAGCAAAGCGATGTAAACTGAGACAAGCAAACATTGTGCAGTAGTCACCGTGTGTTAAAGATGTTTCTTTGCTTCACTGGTGATGCCGCTTGCAGGAGAACTAACAGTACATTTTACACAATATGGCACTATTAGTCTCTTCAATTAAGCTTCTGGTCAGCAAACTGTGCAATGTTTCAATTTGGTACTTTCCATTTAACATTCCAAAGAAACAGAATGTTTATGCTGCTTTGGAAGCACTGCAAATTTAAAAATGGAAATAAGTCAAGGAGAACTGTTTAAGTGGTGTGAGCATAGTGGGCTCCATGAGTAGTGATGGGGGTACACACAAGTTTCCCCAATGGGGCTAATTCCTCCCTCCCCGGAGGGCATTTCAAGTTAGGAAAACAGCATTGTGGAAAGGCACCTGCACCAAATTGGTCCCCCACATGCCTGGGAATTGAGTTCCACTAGGGAACTCATGTCTGATTGTAAATCTTCATGGCAATTCATACACAAGTAGAGGACTTGATAACGTGCAGTTGGGGATGGGTTTAGGTTTCTAAACTGTAAGGAATATAAAGGGAATCCAGCACACCACAGTTATACACTACCATAATGTGTCTACAACAGCAAACCCTATGAGGCCAGAATCTTATTCTATGGCATATGCAGCAGTGATTAAAGCTAGAAGTGCTCGATGGTGTTAATCAGGGAAATACTAACAAGGCTGAATACAAGGTGCACTGTTTTATCTTGAGGAATATGCTGTTTGTTGGTAATATATCAATCTGCTTGTGGAGGAAACAGAAAGAATTTGCTGCCTTACATAGAACCACAAAGCCCAGTTACACTCTCCGAAGTCGTCACATTTTGTTCATACAGCTTCCTAATCTTGGCATATTCTCCCCCATAACTGTTTATCTCAGTTTCACTCTCCTTTCATTGAGAGGATTCCTCACTTCACTTTCCAGTATCTCAGCCTTGGCTTTGCCCCTCCAAATAAACATGGAAGATGCATGAGAAAGCAAAAGTGAAACCAATCGATAGCCAGTTTTGCTGATATTAATTACTGCACAATCTGGCTGCCCCCCCTTCCAGTAAGTGGTGCTTTGGCACTAAGACAATGCTATCCAAACCTCATTAAAATCCATTTAAAACACATTCTTTTAAAAATGGGAAGGAAGAGGATATGCTAAAAGCAATTATTTATGAAATTGTATGTACTTTATAAGTAATATGTAATAATACCTACAGAATAACTTTCTGTTCTTTATGGTGGTAAAAAACATAGAAGTGCAGGTTAAAAACTCACAATACATGGGTTGTAGCGATCTGTCCCTACCTTCCTCTTCCCCAGCAGCCTGCTTCTTGTCTCAAAAGTCTACTCTGTCCAGGTTCTGGAGACTCTAGTTAACAAAATGCACCATAGTACAAGGGGCTACTATGGGGATGGGGGGAGATGAAATCAACTCTTCTTTCTCTTCTATGGTATCCCTTGGTGCTTTTTGTTAATGAGGACCTCCAGAACCATAGAGAAGATTCCTGAAACACGTATGGCCAGTTCTCCCTGCCACAACTTACAGGGAAATTTCCCAAGACTGTCATAGAGGTTTGTGATGGATTGCACTTTTTAAAGAGGCTTAAAAGTACTGTACATAAAACTACAGGACTGTGTAGGGTTAATACTTCACACAGCCTGAGAGCCTTGAGCGACAGGCTGCTCCAGGCAATCTGATTGGGTGGCATCAGCTGAGCAAAGAAAGTCTGTATGCTGAGGAAATTCAGTCAGATTCCTGCCTTATCTGAGATGAGGTCTAAGAGGTGACCCTCTTAGACTAGCCCTGACAGAAAAGGGTTTAGTGCTGACAAAGTCAGAATTTATCCATGTCTGAATATAGTCTAATTTCAGCCTTAGATGAGCAGTTAAACATAGGCAGGAGAACTGGGGAAAAGCTGGCTAGGAGGTTTGGGAAGTAAACCAAGGCCAAGGAAAGGGGATAAAACTTTTAAGAAGAGAAGAAGATTCCCTACCCAGTTAAACAGGGTGATATATCTGAGGGGTACAGAGATCCCTGGTCTGATGTGGTTAAAAAACTGTGTGGAGAGATCTGAAGAGTCAGTCAAAAACTGGTGTTCCAAGAAAAGGGGTTTGGGCACTGAGAAGAGGGTACCAGCCTTCTGTGCACCAAAAGAGTCTGCTATTATAAATAAAATGTGCTGGAGTGGTTTGGGGAAACCCAGGAACAAAAGCCTCCCAAAATAAAGAATTATAGTAACTCTGAATAATTCAAGAAAACTCTCACTAGCCTGATCTAGAAGAAAAAGTTTGCGCTTATATTATATTACCTCAGTATTTTCAACCCCTGACTTCACCTAACCTTTCCCCTTGATGTTAAATAAAAATTTGTGTTATTTTTGAATTTTAAAAGCATCTCAAGTGCCATTTTCTGTCATTTAAGTTTAAGAGAGACCCGAACCCTTCCCTCAGGTCCTGGGCTGGGAAAATAGATCTTACATATTACTGACAAAGGGTAAAAAAAATATTACATGTGTAATTATATATTGCATGCATAATACATATTATATATAACTGACACAGGGTGGGATTGCTAAAGCTACTTTAAAGAGAAGAATACATGTTACCAGGGCTACTCAGTCAGTGAAGGGACACAAAAAGAAAAATGGGGGTGAAAATCTTGCCTCTAAGGGACGGAAGTGGATGGGGTCTGTCATAAGCTTCATTGGTGGCCAGGAACAAGCAAAGCCAGGAACTCAGGGGCCACTTGGGCCACACCCCTCATGAGCCATGGCAGTTTGCATGAGCTCACTGTCTCCTACTGCACCAGTTTGGGGACATGATCCTGTGGGTGAGCCAATGCCCACTGATGGCCTAGCTGAGCTGAATGGCCCTACAATGCTGTCTTGTAGGACAGCAGGGGCCACTCAGTTTGACCTTCTCCAGGGCAGTTTTCACTTCCCAGTCTGCTCCTGGACAAGTTGCTTAGGAAGAGAGAAGGACATGTTCCACCCAACCCTTGCATGAGCTTCCACACAAGAGCCAATGCGATGGTTCAATGACTGAACCTCAGAAAACAAGCAATGTGGTCTTTTTATTTAGACAGAATCTCGAACTATTCTATAATTATTCTAGTTCCAGCATCTCTGTTACCTGAAGACAGCTGTTTTTTCAGCCTTGGCAGCAACTGAGAAGGATTCACCACAGTTAGTTTCCCCAAGCATTCTGCCACCACGTTGCGCGTCCCTTCCTCTGTGCATTCGCAGTGTTTGAAAAGCAGGGCCCAAATGTCCTCCACGTAGGGTTTCAAACTGTCTCCTGGGGAGGAGCTGATTACTTCCTTCAGTGAGTGAAGCAGCAAGTATTGCCTCTTAGGCTGGCCTCCAATCTCTTTGAGCATGAAGGGAAGGTATTCCTTCAGATTGCCAACACTGATGTTTCCCAGCGCATAGGATGCTGCCGATTTCACCTCTTCACTGGGTGAGGAAAATGCATCCAGTATCACGGGTTTGAGCTCCCTCTGTGCACTGAGGTTCATGCTGCGCCCTATTTCTGCCAGCGAAAGGAAAGCCAACATTTTAACTGCAGCACTGGACTTGGGATTCTTCACATCCTGAATGAACTGATTTACTACCCCTGGCACTTCTTTTGGGCACACGGATGAAAGGGCTGCAACGCATTTCGCAACAGAGTGATAGGCCTGTTTATGTAAAGTTACAGATGCCCCACCAGGGCTGGAGGAGTATATAGGACTAGTCAGTTGCTTCATTAGTTCTGTATAACTCATGTTGACTGTCTTGGTAACAACCAGAGCTTGAAAGAAGTCCACAATGGCGTTAAGGGCACCCCCTTGCATCAACGGGGAGTAAACAAGCTGGAAAAGCTCCGAGAGGACCGTACCACTGATCTTAGACAAGGAAGAGGGATAAACCTTAGCCAAGGTAGTGAGAAACGTGATAGCCACTTGAGAAACATGCATATCGTTCTCGCTAATTAAATCGGGAAGCTCCATCAGAACACATTCAATCATGGCTGGTTTGAGGCTATCGCTGTAGTTCTTGATCAAAATGTCCAAAACTGCCAAAGTACTCAGCTTTAAGGCACGCTGATTCTTGCGCAAGAAGGAGGCCAGAATGGGGAATCCTTCTGCTAGAATAGGCCTTAGGTCTATTTTGAGTGTAGAACTAGCAATTAAACTTAGTGCTTTGACCGTGGTCAGTCTAGTGATTTCATTCTTTAGCCTCTCAAGAAAAATCTTCAAGGTTGGCTGGAGATCACTGCTCAAATGGTCTCCAAGATTGCACACAATCTGCCCCATGCAAGAGATAGCCCGTTCCTTCACCTCCTGATCGATATCAGCAGCTTTTAGCCTCTTCAGAGTAGGAGAAAACAGGTCTCGTACATAGGGCTTGGCATCAAACGTACAAGGCACATCCAGGGGCCGAATGACCTTCACAAGCTGCTGTGTGACGAGCAGAGCTTCTGAAGTGATTTTATAAAAGGGATCTCCTATGCAAAGGACAACTGGTGGGAGCAGTGCCCTAACATGGGGATGGAACACCTCCCGGGGGTGATTGCAAAGAACAACATGAAGGAATGACAGGGTATCTATCTTCATGTTGGAGGAGCTGGATTTATCAGTCAAGGAGAAAACAATACCTGTTTGGGGGGAAAGAAACCATTCGTTAGCATCGCTTTGTGTCTAGTAATACACACTGCATCGAATCCTAACTGGACAGTGCTCATGACAACCCTCATCACCACCATTCCTCCCTTTTCCCACCTCAGCCACTCTCTGTTGGGACCTTAGCTTTTAATTCCCTGAATTCTTTTTATCATTGGACATCTTTTATTTATTTATTTTTGACAAGCCTTTATTGGCCTATGTATATTGGCATATACAATAGGAGATCAGATTAAATATAGATCAGCACTGGACATCTATTACTTTCCGTATTATCTTGTAGTCAATAAATACATTCCAAGTTCAGTTAGGTTATTGACACACACGAAGCTAAATTATACTGAATCAGATCATTGGTCCATCAAGAGCAGTATTGTTTACAGCTCTCCAGAGTCTCAGGCTGCCATCTTTCACATCACCTACTACCAGTGTTCCCTCTAAGCTGAGTTAGTGTGAGCTAGCTCACAGTTCTTTAGCCTCTGGCTCACACATTTTTGTCTTCGCTCAGGAAGGGTGGCTCCAGAGCAAACTAATTTGTGCAGTAGCCAAATCACCTGCTCACGACTTTAATGCCAATAGCTCAGAGAGTAGGATTTTTGCTCACAGGACTCCACAGTTTAGAGGGAACATTGCCTACTACCAGATCTTTCTAACTGGCGGTGCCAGGGATTGAACCTGGAACCTTCTGCATGCCCATGCAGATGCTGTTGCATGGTTTGCTAATTAGTTTCAGGCAGCTATTCCCAAACTAAGTGCTTCCTCTGGAGACAGGCCGTTCTGTTATAACTCCACACAGGACTGGAAGTGACAGGGTGGCCAATCAGATGGCACACTGGGAATTCCAGCTTCCGTGCTCCCAGCATTCCACCCTCCCCCCGCTTTAAATAGCTGCCACATGGGGCCTTGATTCAGACTGGGACCACAGCATGGGGACCAGGGGGTTTAAACCTTTCCCCTGCCATTTTTCATATCCTAAATAGCCCCATGGGGCTACAATTTCCCCACTGGGTTAACATACAGTTCCTGTACAACGGCAGCCCCATGTGGTAATTTCTGGTTGGGAAAATACTGGGGGGAGTGGGATGAGGAGGCTTAAAAACCCCTTTCCCATAATCCTAAACTTGAATCAGTGTCTTGAACTGTGCTCAGCTACTTAAGAGGAAAAGGGTCCTGGGAATTCCCAGCATCTCATCTGGTTTGGTACAAAATGATCCAATCACATCTGGTGCAGAGACTTGGTAAAACTGCCTTTGCTCAGAGAAAGTCACTTCCTGTATCGCTTCTTGAGTCACTCCTTTGAATGTGCCAATGTTTTTGGAGTATCTCAGGAATGTGTACCTCTAATTTTAGCACCCTGCCTCAATCACCAGACATTTGCAAACACAGTTTGAGGGAGTGAAGAAGGTAGCATAACAGCTTAGTGTCTTGCACCATATTCTTTGTTATTCTATGGCACTGTGAAGTTAAACAAGGCCCTGGATGTGCAAGTCAGTCTCATTCCACCACAAACTTGTGAGCTTCAAATGTATGCTAAAAGGTGTCAAATAGGCTTAGTGAAACCAATAGCAGAGTATCCTGAGACAATGACTGGCTTAACTTTGTATGTAAAGAAGTATCCTGAACACGGAAAGCAGAGAAGAAACTACTGCCTTATTCTTTAGACGTATGAAAGCCCAAGTACAAAAGTGGCCGACACAGAAAGTTTCCCACCCTGCCAACAGACAAGATTTACCAGGCACGAGTGCGGGTATGTGATCTGCTAGGCAGCCAGGGAGAACGTTAGCCAACTCAGTCAAGAGAGTGAAGCATCCCTGCCTTGACTTAACACTCTTCTCTTTGAGCTGCTTGTGCAAAGCCTTGATGATGTTTGGAACCTGTAAGGTGAGAAAGCAACTCATTGGTAACCCAAAACAAGGTGAGAAGAGTGAGTGATCCCAGCCGCAAGTTGGGTATTAAATCATTTAGTAGGTAAAGTGAATGTGACCCAACCAGCAGATGTGAATGTAACCCAACCAGCAGATGGTCTCCGTCTCCGTTATACAGGATTACAGCTGGGGGTTGTTTCATCATTATTTTTATCAATGTGAGCTACAGAAATGCAGCAAGGCTTTTTTTAAAAAAAACAACAACAAGAAAACATATGGGGTTTATTCTTTTCAGAATATGACAAAGATCTTTATACACCCAAGCTCTACTTTAAAAAATGCATTTTTTTAAGGTGGGCAAGAGCTATTTCTCAATTTCAGAGGGGGCATGATGCTGCCCCATCCACAGTGTGTGTGACCATGCCAGAGAAGGGTTGAGCCCCTAAACACACACACCGAGGGCTGGATCCTACCACCTTTTCTTGCATGATGCCCTTCCTCACTTACAACCCCATTCCCATGTGGCTGCTGCTGGTAGAATTGCATTGTTTTATAATACAATACAATACATAGCAGCTAACAAGAACTTGCTTTCTCACTGCGTCGATTTGGATTCTTGCAGTGCATCTCATTTCCATGAGATTCAAAAACAAACCAACAGAAGCCCCTTCAGTTGAACGCTTTGGTGTCACCAGCCCTATTTTGTTAAAGCCACCCATCCTGCCGTGTGGAGCCACCCCCACGGAAACCAAGGCTCACTGTTCCGCCACTCACCTGGTTCTGAAGCATGGTGAGAGGGATGTCCTCCTTGCTTGCCTCATCTGAAGCATGCAGCCAGCTCTGAATGGGCAGGGTTTGCTTCAGCAAAGATATATAAGCACAGAAAATGTCCGCCTTCACATTCTCCTCTCTTTCCTTGAACCTGCTGATTAAGGCGGGTGAGAGGGTTTTGTAGAACTCCCGGAGAAGATCGTGCCGAGTACTGACAATAGCCTCAAGGCACTTGGCTGCAGACCTGCGGACCTTCCAGCTGATGTCATCATCGTCACTATACTCATCATCGCTTTCTGAGGACAAGAAGACAGACTCCATGTTCATAAAAGCAGAAACAGAGGACTCAAGGACACAGCTGGTTAAATAAGTATATATTCCCCCACTATTCTGTTCCCCAGAAACGCGCACACACACACTCACATACGGCAGCTAACACAATAAGCATCACATATGATCACCATCAAATCCTCACATTACCAAAACATTTGAAATACTAATCCACCTAGACAGTGACAAACCGCTAAGCTATCAACACAAAAGGCAACATTACTGGGAAACCAACCTTACAGAAGTGCAATTGAACCAAATCTGGTCTTCTACGTTGCTAACATCACCCGTCATTAGTACAAAACTTCAATCTTACAAAATAATTACCCAATGGTAACTTACTCCTGAAAAACAAGCTTTGATGTCATCCTCTCACTCCCCCTTATGCTGGAAGAAATGTGGGGAGAATGGCTCCTTTGCACACTGCTGGTGGCACTGCAAACTTATAGAAAACTTTTGGCATGATGTACTTTCACAAATACGAACTATCATGGGATACACGATTCCCTTCTCACCAGAACTGATTTTCTTAGATATTTGGCCAAGGATCAGGCGAGCATTAATAACTAATCTCCTGGTAGCAGCCAAGACGCCGATCGCTTCCAAATGGAAATCTCATCTAGCCCCTACATGAACTGGTATAACAAGGTCTGGGACCATTTCATCATGGAAAAAATCATGGATCATCTCCAGCAGTGAGAAATCTACCCCAAACAATCCAACTTTGTAGAGAAATGGTTCCCTTTCCTAGAACATGTCACAACTAATGACCTCCAACCTCACAACTCTATCTACCTAAATAGACTCTATTCTTGATACTCCTCTGGCATGAATACTTAACTCATGCTTAGTTTACCCTCCACAATGTCTAGTTGTGGCATTTTGGGAATCCAAACGAAGCAGCAATTATAAAGAGCGTACACTACCTTCTAGACTCACACATCACTACTTGATATACAGTTCACATCCTGTTCTGATGTTATTAACTGTATATCCTGCTTAATTACCGTGTTGTACAATCCATAATACTTGAATTTATTGTTACAGATATATCACTCAACTTTGTACTATCTGAAAAGTTAATAAAAAGTTGATTTAAAAAAATCCTCACATAACCCTACAGTCAATGAGGATATTTCTCTAGCATTCTGGACAGTTTGAACTATAGGGTCATGAGATGAAGGGGCGACATTGGACACAATTCTATACTAGAAGAAAGAAAAGAAAGAAAGAGCAGTGGAACTTGGTCCATTGGAACAGGCACTGCTCTCTCTTTCTCCCAAGTTACTTGGCAGTCATGGGATAAGAGGGCAGATTCTCTTATGGATTAAAAATTGGTTAAATGACAAGAAGCAAAAAGTAGGGAGAAATGGACAGTTCTTACAACAGAGGGAAGTAAGCAAGAGGGACACACAAGGATCTGTACTGGGGCCAATGCTATTTAATTTTTTTCATAAATGATATGGAACTAGGGGTGAGCAGCACAGTGGGCAAGTTTGCGGATGACAGAAAATCATTCAGGATGGTGACAACCAAGGATGACTGTGAAGAGATCCAGGAGGATCTCCACAAACTGGGCAACACTGCGGCAGATGAAGTTCAATGTGGGTAACTGTAAGGTGATGCACATTGGAACAAAAAAAAATCCCAACTTCAAGTATAGGCTAATAGGGTCTGAACTTGCTGGGACTGAGAGATAAAAAGATCTTGGGGTCATAGTGGATAGCTCTATGGAAGTGTCAACCTAGAGGGCTGCAGTGGTAAAAAAGGCAAACTATGTTGGGGATTATTAGGAAAGGGATTGAGAATAAAACTGATTTTATAATGCCCCTCTGTAGATCTATGGTGTGGCCTCATTTGGAATACTGTGTGCCGTTCTGGTCACCATACCTCAAAAAGGACACTGCAGAGCTGAAGAAAGTACAAAGGAGGGCAACCAAGATAATTAAGGGGCTGAAGCATCTTCTCTGTGAGGAAAGGCTGAAGAGTCTGGGATTCTTCCATTTTAAAAAGAGAAAACTAAGGGGGGACAAGATAGAGGCTTCTAAAATTATGCATGGGGTGGAGAGAGTTGACAAAGAGAACTTTTTCTCCTTCTCCTAAAGTACTAGAACTCAAGGGCATCCAATGAAGCTGATGGGACAGTAAATTCAGGATGGTCAAAGGGAAATACTTCTTTACACAGAGAGTGATTACTATGTGGAATTCACTAGAAGATGTAGTGATGGCCACAGGCATAGATGGCTTTAAAATGGGATTAGACATATTCATGGAGAATATGTTTGTGAGTGGCCATGATGACCAAAGGGAACCTCCAGATTCAGAGACAGTAAACCTCTGAATACCACAGTCAGGATGCAACATCAGGGGAAGGTCTTGGCCTCTATGCCCTTCTGTTGGCACTTCCAGAGGACCTGGTTGGCCACTGTGTGAGACAGGACCACTGGTACAATCCAGCAGGGCTCTTTTATGTTCTTTTGTTCTTTCTGCTCAGTGAAGGGGAAGGCTGACTTCTAATGGACCCTGCTGTGCAAGCTTGGTGGTAGGCTGAAGAGGCTTGTTGTCCCTGCATCACCTTTAGACATCTGCAGAGTCAAACAGCCATTAATTGACATTATTCTAGAAGGAAAGTAGACAACGGGCAGCTGATCACTGCCAAGCCAATTCATTGCCTCTTCTGTTGACTAAGAACAGTACTTAGCTTAAATTATCAATGTTATTCCCCAAATTCAACAAGGGAAAGTATTTTAGAGGGCTATGTTTAATTTCATGCAAAGATGTGACAACTGTATCATTTTCTGTGACCTGCTAGCCATGGAAAATAAGCATCTCCACATCAGCTTCCTGGATGGAGAGCTAAGGAAAGGCAATGGGAATAGGCAGTCTGAACAACTGGCAGAGGAGACCAGCCTTGACAATCCCTAACGCACAGCACCTTGTTCTTCCTCCTCCCCATTCTCAGTTTCCATCATTTCTTCTTCATCCTCTTCCTCATTGTCGTAGTTGTAGTTTGGATCGTAAGTGATATATTTGAGGCACAATCCTGTCACATTATGAAGATGAGGACCGATTTCTTTCGGGCATCTTTGGAAACAGAAAAAGAACTCCAGAGTAACATAGAACAACAACAATTCCATAAGCAGTATTTCCATAAATAAAATCATATATTTGTTGTGATCCAGTGACTGTTTACATGCACGGGGGTCTGAAATGCAATGCAGTGCTTCCCATTCATTTCAAATAAAGGGCCAGATTTTAGGTTCACAAAGAACTCTAAGTGACATTTGGATCCTTCTGTTGAAATACATCAGAGAACCGGAGCTGAATGAAATCATGATGTGAGCCTGGAAACACTGCATGACTGCTACAGTATTAAAGGAGCAGCTTCACCAGATAGCTTTCTTCCTGTGCACACTGAATCAGGCCATCCTACCGTGTCCTTACCCATCTTAAAGACACTCTCTCACTACTTCTCTCTGTGTACCATTGGCCTTGGCATTAAAAAAAAGCTAAAATCATCTCTTTAAAAAACCCTTTTCTGTTAAGATCCTGAAAAACTGTTTTCCCATCTATCCAAATTACCTCAAAGAATTCCAATAGTGGAATGTGCTTCTCTCCCTTTAGTATCTATGTTTCTAATTGTAGAATTCCAGAGCCGATGAATGTGGCATCGTAGGTAGTTCCCCAGTTTAGTGGTATCACAGCCAGCCACCTAGGACAGATCACCAGAGGGATGCTAAGAGGCACCTCCCCTCAACCATGGTCTGTGACATGGATAATCAGGACAGACATTTCACTGGTAATTTCCACCTAAAAACAGTAGCTCTGCAAAACAACCCAGTATTTCCCAAGAAAAGGGCACCAACCTTCTCACAAAAGATTCAAAGGCCTGAAAGCAGTATTCCCTCAGTTCATCATCCTCAACATTGCAGTACTGCACAATTAATGGGATCATCTTCTCCAGATAGTCTCCTGGAAAACAGTGAAAGAGCATCATCAAGAAAACCCCTTGCCCAGCTTAGTTAGCTGTCTGGGAGCTCCCGCTGTTGCAGCCTGCTGAGGAGAATGGGCGTCACTTTGATCAGTCCCTTTAGCTTTAGAGAACCCCCATGGAAGAGCAAGATATGATAAATACTTCTGTTTTTAAAAAGAAGAATGTCTTCCCACTTTGGGTCGTTTGGTTAAATTAGATGCATGTTACTATGCCTGTGTGGCATATATCCTACAGTGGCATACTTCCTACCGTTCCACTCAGCAAACTTCGAAGCCTTCCTCCAGCCAAAGGAGCCTTCCTCCAATTTAAGGGGCTTTTCTGATGGAGAAAGGTCCTCTTCCGTCAGAGAAGGCTCATTAGGCTGGCTTCACACTGGGAGGAGGAGGAGACTGGATTTATACCCCGCCGTTCACTACCCAAAGGAGTCTCAGAGCGGCTTACAAACGCCTTTCCCTTCCCCTCCCCACAACAGACACCCTGTGAGGTAGGTGGGGCTGAGAGAGCTCTTGACAGAAACTGCTCTTTTTCAAGAACAGCTCTTATCAGAACTACGGCTTGCCCAAGGTCATCCAACCAGGTGCAAGCGGAGGAGTGGGAAATCACACCCGGTTCTCCCAGATTAGAGTCCACGCACCTAACCACTACACCAAACTGGCTCACAGTACAGGGAGTACCTCAATGTGTTCAACTCTCACACATAAAAGGAGCTCATATCCTGATCTATCAAACTGGAGTGCAGAGAGGCTTTGAGCTCCAAGACCTTGCAGCAACAAATAGGATGTCTTCATTCCCGTTTTAAGTCACCAGATTAAGCTGTTCATTCCTACCGATATTCACACGGACACACACAAAGCTGCCTTATACCAAGTCAGACATCGGCCTAAGTATTGTATACTCTGATTGACAGCTGTTCTCCGATGTCACAGACTTTCATGTTATGTTCTGCCTGATCCTTTGACTGGCAATGCTGGGAATTAAATCTAGGGAGTTCTGCTTGCAAGGCATGTGCCAGCATCCCTCCGTATGTCCCTCCATGCCACTGTCCCTTCCTCTCCGGGGCATGGTCTCTTCGAAACATTATGAAATTTTTCTCTCTTAGATATGCACACACACAGCCACCTCACACCAAGTCAGACCAATGGTCCATCTAGTTCAGCACTGTTTACTCTGACTAGCAATTGGTCTGAGCCACAGTCTCTCTTATAGCTTAGCTTATTTCATTCATCTGGACTGATGCTTCTTTGGTATAGAATAACTTAGTAAATCCTATTTTCTGATTGGGCCCGGTAGAATAAAAACTGTGCACATTTTGCAAGAGCATTGCATCCATGGAGGATTCTACCTTAGGTCAAAGAGTTGGGCTCCTTCCAGCCCTACTGATTCAACAAAGGCTCATCACTTACAGAAGCAATAAAACCTGTCCCTGGCGGCTGCTTCTGTCCCAATGAACTGAAAAGATGCTACAGCAGCACAATGAGGCTCCAGATAGTTGCCTCTTGAGCAGAATAGTTACAGGATAAATAAAATGGAACACGGCTGGGTAGAAAATTTAAATCTAGAGATATGAGATATGAGACTGGAATAGAAAAGAGCACCAGCTATGACAACAGCAGTTGTATGTTCAGAGCAGTGTGGTAGGATGGTTAAAGTGTTAATACTAGGGCCAGGAAGAATCGGGTTCAAGACCCCACCCAAGCCCAAAGTATACAAGACATTTGTCCACAAACTGGGTTGGGATTCTGCTGACCCAACTTGCATTTCCCTCAGCTGCTTTCTGGCTGTGAGGACCTTATTTCCCCAAGCACCCTAGTGCACAATTCACGTTAGGATTGCTGGACAGGAGGAGAAAGGGATTCACCCTCCCTGCAACACTGTTTTCCCAACCCAAAATGATCCTGGGGGTGCTTTCTGTTCGAGGGGGGGGGAGCTGCACAGGATTCCGTGCACATGCAGCTCCCCAACAGGACAGAAAGCATCTCCCAAGGCTCCTTTCAGGTCAAGAAAATGCCCCAGGATGAAGACCCTGCTCCTCCCTTGCTGTGGTCACTCCCAACCTGAATCAGGGCCTGCAGTGCACAGGGAAACACGTTCCCTGCAGCCAGATGGCAGCTGTTGGGAATGCAAGTCAGGTCGGCGGAACCCTGACCTGACTTTATGGACAAACATCTTGTGTAGTTTGGGCCTCAGCCATGGAGCTCTGTGTGTGACAATGGACTCATCCCACACTGTCTCTCTCTCCAAAACCCATCTCACAGTGTTGTTGCAAGGATAAAACACAGAAGGGGCAAAGCACATATGCCATCCTGAGCTCCTCGTAGGAGAGGGTGGATAAAAATGTAACTGAATGATTGAAGCTGAACACGTATATGGTGCGTTCAGTCCCAATGATGAGAGACCTACCTATGCGGTGCCCGGCCTGCCTGCTGATGCCGGCAATGCACTGGATATACGTCCTTGTGGTTGAAGTGGAGTTGTTCCTCTTCAGCTCTGCTAACAGGTGCTCCATAAGCTCTGCAAAGATATTCCCGTTGCAAGTCAAGACCAGGTGACCCAAGGCAATGATGGCCCTTTTGCGCACAGCCAACCTGGGACTTGTGAGCTGTGGAAGGAGGCAGTTCAAGATGGAGGAATGGAAGGAGTACAGAGTCCCCCCTAACCTGCAGCCATGGGCGAGAGACACAAGAGAAACTTCCATCACCGAAAAGGTTTTCCAAATGGAGATAATGTTATGCTGCACTCTAGAGAAACTCCATGAAGAATGTCATATTACTGGCATATGCCTCCAACTCTCTGCACAGACACAAAAATGCAGATGGACCACTAGTCTCATCCAGCAGGGCTTTTGTGTTCTTAGTTTACACATCTTCTAGCAATGCAGATTTTAAGAATAAGGGCCAAACTACATGTTTACAGTACTTGGAGCACTGCTTTTTAACTTGTTCATTAATGATTTGGAGTTGGGAGTAGGCAGTGAAGTGGCTAAATTTGCGGATGATACGAAGTTGTTCAGGGTGGTGAAAACCAGTGAGGATTGTGAGGCACTCCAAAGGGATCTGTCAAGGATGGGCGAGTGGGCGTCAACATGGCAAATGGGGTTCAATGTGGCCAAGTGCAAGGCGATGCATATTGGAGCCAAAAATCCTAAATATAAACACACGTTGATGGGGTCTGAACTGGCAGAGACTGATCAAGAGAGAGATCTTGGAGTTGTCGTAGATAACTCACTGAAAATGTCGAGACAGTGTGTGACTGCAATAAAGAAGGCGAATGCTATGCTGGGGATTATTAGGAAGGGTATTGAAAACAGATCAGCCAATATCATAATGCCCTTATATAAATCAATGGTGCGACCTCATTTGGAATACTGTGTGCAGTTCTGGTCACCACACCTTAAAAAGGATATTACAGCTTTGGAAAAAGTGCAGAAAAGGGCAACTCTAACGATAAAAGGGTTGGAACACTTTCCCTATGAGGAAAGGTTAAAGCGCTTAGGGCTCTTTAGCTTGGAGAAAAGACGACTGAGGGGTGACATGATTGAGGTTTATAAGATTATGCATGGGAAAGAGCAGGTAGAGAAAGAGGTACTTTTCTCCCTTTCTCACAATACAAGAACTCGTGGGCACTCCATGAAATTGCTGAGCGGTCGGGTTAGAACAGATAAAAGGAAGTACTTCTTCACCCAAAGAGTGATTAACACATGGAATTCACTGCCACAGGAAGTGGTGGCGGCTACAAGCATGGATGGCTTCAAAAGGGAATTAGATAAACATATGGAGCAGAGGTCCATCGGTGGCTATTAGCCACAAGGTATAGATAGAGGCTCTGGGGCAAGTGATGCTCTGTCTTCTTGGTGCTTGGGGGGGGGCAACAGTGGGAGGACTTCTAATGTCCTGGCCCCACTGGTGGACCTCCTGATGGCACCTGATATCTTTGGCCACTGTGTGACAGAGTGTTGGACTGGATGGGCCTTTGGCCTGATCCAACATTGGCGTCTCTTATGTTCTTATGTCCAGTGGCCACAGTTTTGAATCATGGCTGCCACCACCATTTTACAGAAGAATTTGAGCACTGAAAAAATACCGCAATGTGGGCCCACAGCAAAGGGGACCAGGCAAACTTGCCCCCCCCTGTACCTTTTCAACTACCCAAACAGGCTGTTTCAGCATTTGAAAGGGTGCATAGGAGGGGGAGAATTTCCTGGTCCCCTGTGCTGTGGGCCCTCCTTGAAGCATTTCCCCCCAACTTCTTCTGTAAAATGACCTTGGCGACCACAGGTCAAACCTACAACATATAATTTGCCTCTAAGGTTATTAAAAGCAATCCATTAATATTCTTCTGAGAGGTTCAGATATTTAGTATGAGTGATTCATCTTGGGTTGTGCAGAAACAATGCAGAATGATGACTCTAAAAGTAAAACGAAGTTTGGTCTGCTAAGCCGCTCACGCAATCTGTTTCACAGCACTCTTTTGGTACCTGCTCAAAATATCTGACAAGATGTCAAGAGCCTCCAGCTGCACAGACACATCTTCTTGCTTCCCAACGGCTCCAGTCAGCTGGGCTGTGATCTTTTTGCACACATTGGCTGTCATGGTGGAGCCTATGGGCAGGAACAAAGGTTAGGCAAAGATTTGCCTTCCAGTGATTATCAGGGAAAAAACAAGCAACTCCAGCTGGTGATGGCGCAAGATGAAGATTATTCACAGTGGGTGGTAACTGGGCATTTCTGGACACAACATGAAGATTGGGCCTTGCGGTTTCAAAACATACGGAAAACTGGTTTTAATGGCTTGCTTATATTGGTGGCTTGTTTATATTGATAATTTATGATGATATTATTTATAAGCTGTCTCCAGCAGGATTCTGGAGAGGTAGTATAAGAGTCTCCCAAATAAATAAATAAAACACATTGACAATGGTTGCTGGAGACTCAGAAAAAAATAGTGGGCAGAACTTCCAGTGGCCTGAGAATGTTGTTTATCCATCTAGGAGGAGGAGACTGGATTTCTACCCCGCCCTTCACTACCCGAAGGAGTCTCGGAGCGGCTTACAAACTCCTTTCCCTTCCCCTCCCCACAACAGACACCCTGTGAGGTAGGTGGGGATGAGAGAGCTCTTGACAGAAACTGCTCTTTTTCAAGAACAGCTGTGCCAGAATTATGGCTTGCCCAAGGTAATCCACCCAGGTGCAAGTGGAGGAGTGGGGAATCAAACCCGGTTCTCTCAGATTAGAGTCCGCGCACTTAACCACTACACCAAACTGGCTATCACATTTTCATTCCACTTTTTCTCTGAGGAGTTCAGGATAGTATCCATGGTGAGCCAGTGTGGTATAGTGTTTAGAGTGCTGGACTAAGGCCACAGATGCTTGGCTTTAAGTCCGTACTCAGCCATAAAGCTCACTGGGGACCTTGGGCTAGTCATATTACCTTACCTATCTCACAAAGGTGCTGGGAGGACAAAAGAGGTGGGAAGAGATCTATGTATGCTGCCCCAAGCTCCTTGGAGAGAGGACAAGATAAGTAGGTATACATAGTGTTCTTGCCTCCTTCATTTTTCCATCATAGCCCTCTGAGACAAGCTAAGACAGAGGAATGTCCCAAGGTTACCCAGTAAGCTTTGTGACTAACTAGGGATTTGAATCCAGGTCCCAGTCTGACACTCGAATGATTACTCACATCGTTTCTGAACCGCTTCTAGTTCTTTCTTTCCTACTAGCCTATTGGGAACCTGACCCTACTAACAGCCCCTTGAACAGCAAAGGTGACAAACAAACAAGTACTGGAGCGCATAAAACCAGACATGTCAATGGAAGGGGAAAAAATCACAAAACTGTGACTTGCTTATTTGGGCTATGTCATGTGGAAGAACTCACTAAAAAAAGCAATTACGCTTGGATTGGTTAGCAGCAAAAGGAAACCGGGCTGCCAAAGAACACGGTGGCTAGACACCATAAAAGCCGACACCAGCCTGAGCGTGGCTTAAAGAAACACTACAAGACTGGAAAACGTGGAGAGAGCTGGCCCATGGAATCGCCAAGAGTCGAACACAACTGAATGGCTAACAACAAAACAAAAAAGTTCAATTTGTCCACTCTCATCCAGTCCATTACAGCCTCCAGACACTGCTTACACTCATGACTGGCTTCTCTGGATCTTCATGGAAGATAATGCCTGAAGAACTGCTGTGTTCAGACTGCATCATATGCTGCTTTCTGCATGCATCTTGCCTCCCTCCCCATGCAAGTGGCATATTTTCCTGAGCAGGCATGCCTGGCAGTTAACATGCAGCAGCTGCGGAAGTATCTATGATTTGGGAAGTTACAGCCTGTACATAATAGACACTGCTACAACTGTACCACAGGTCTTTTCGGATCATACTGCCCTCATGAGCTAATCACCTAAGAAGCAATCTTGTAACAAAAAGACTAAAAGAAACTGCACCTCAGAAGCTGCTTATTGTTTTGCTGCATGAAGACAGGGATGCCAGGATACGCCCTTGCCATAGCAGCACCAGCAAGCAGGGTGAGAACAGGAGGGAATGCTACCTAGTTTAAAGAGGAAAGTCCCAGGAACATGACCCCCCCCCCCGCCGCCCCATGTTCCCTTTGGTCATCATCTGGGGGCCTGGCCCCAGGATGGCTCGGTTAGCTGTCACCAGGGGAAGGTCCTTCTCAGTTGTGGCCCCTACCCTGTGGAATGCGCTCTTGGATGCCACCCATGCCCCCTGGCAGACTTGTTTAGTTTCTGCAGGGCATGCAAGGCTGAATTGTTTACATTGGTCTTTGGCAGGTAACCACATATTTGGGCTGTTTAATAGTGGTATGTTGATAGTCATGTATTTTAATAACTTAATATTTTAATGTTAATATTCTATAGTTGCTATTTGGTTTTATGTCATTTTACCTGATTGGTTTTAATGCTGTAAGTTGCCACGAGACCCTTCGGGAGAGCAGAGACTAAAAAAAAAATCTAACAAATAAATAATCAAACAAGTTGCGTGGACATGACCCTTAAACATAGGTGGCTTCCCAGTTTCCATGTGGGGAAAAATCCCTGTGTGGCTTTGCCGTGTAAACGTCTGCAGACAAAAGCCATATGCATCAGATCAGGTGCTTCTTGGGCACCTCACCAAATTTCTGTCTGCCCACCTAGTCTGTTTGTTACCTTGCCCTTCCTCTGCGTGGCACAGGACAGCATACATGGGTCTCTCTTCCCCGTTTTATCACAACAACAATCCTGTTGAACAGATTAAGCTGAGAGACAGTACCTGGCCCAAACTCACCCTTTCATGGCAGAATAGGGACCTGAGCACGGGCTTGCTCTACTGCTCTTCTACTCTACACTTGCTTATTGAATCTGCTTTCTAGTCCCATGTCTCTAAAAGCTGGATAAAACACGCAAACCTGGCAGAGATAACAGACGTCGGGAATATCCTAACTGTGAAACATGAAGCACATAATTGGTAAAGCAGTTCAACCCAGTGTATTTTTTGGAAAGCATAACCAACATATATTTGCAAAATTTGGATTTCATTTAAAAGATTTCTACTTTAGTAACCTTGAGAGAGTGAGGAAATTTGTATCAGATCCAAGCATGAATCACTTCATCTTGAGGTTAACTCAGAACATGATTTTTAAAAATACATTTCTGATTGCTGATCACATCTGGAAAAGGAATTTCACAATACCACAGGCTCTGTATGTTACCCTGTGTCTTGTAAAGGCCAGCAAAAGGAATTTTTAGTCAATGGCATAGATCCTGTTTTGCATCAGCAGAGTGGCACTTCAGGAAACAAAACGTTACAGGCTGCTGTGCTTCCTGAAACTGGGCCCTGCAGAGGTCAGTGGACCTCAGAGAACAGCTTGTGGGGGCAAAGTTTGGCTACCCGGTGGGGGGGGCTGTAAAAAATTGTCCCCATCTTTTCAGTTAGTGGAAATGCCTTCGCCCAGCAGAAAATATAGGCAGGATTCAGGCCATGCATTGCAGATAATCCAGAACTTTCCTTAGAACCAACTAAAATATCACAAAACAGTGTGCAAGCTTTCTGGTTCTCCAGAACAGTTCATCAGGATGGATGTCCCATAAAAAAAGGGGGAGGAAAAGAAAAAGATGTTGCAGGCTATGATGTCTGCTGTGGAGGGATTCTTCAGTGGGAGGAAAACGATCTGGGATGGGACTGTGTTTATGGATTTTACCCGGCCTCCACACACTATTGCCTATAGGCAAACTAAGTAAAATTACCTATTGTAGCATCAATACAGGGGCTGTGGTGGCTCAGGGGTTAAGACGCTGAGCTGCAGACCAGGAGGTCAGTAAGTGCCACGTGACAGCGTGAGCTCCCATCTCTGAACCTAGCAAACCTAGCCGTTTGGAAGCAAGAAACTGCAAGTAGATAGGTACCGCTTCGGTGGGAAGGTAACAGCGTTCCGTGAACGTCGCCATTTAATCATGCTGGCCACGTGACCATAGAAACGTCTACGGATAGTGCTGGCTCTTTGGCTTGGAAACGGAGATGAGCACCACCCCGTAGAGTTGGATTTGACTGGCTTTACCTTTAGCATCAAAATTAATCTCCAGTTTTGTTACTATAAGGGCTACCAGGTTTTTCCTGTAGTATCACCCTTCTAAGGGACCTGTGTATTCCATTTGGCAGAAAGACATTTGATCAACTACTGGTTGCTCAAATGGAGGCTGCTTTTCTTTCCATCTTTACCTCCAAAGGCTTGGTACAACCTGAAATGAGTTACAACAGACTTAACTGATTCAGTCTGCAACACATCTTGTACTCCATATTACAGGCTACAGACTAGAGCTTTTTCTATCACACATGGGGAAAAGCGGGTTTTTCCTTCCCCCCGCCCCACCCCATCCTCCAAATATCCAGCCTGACGAAAAATTCTAGAGAATATGAAGGCTTTCACAGTATTTTATGATAATTTGACCAGTCCTCATAAAAGGTACTACATGGCTTTGGTTCTGGAATTCCTCTTCATTATGTAAACAAAGAGGGTTACTTTTTTACCAGTGGATGGAGGCGGCAGCTCTGAAATCACTGTCTTCAGCCCAATACTGGAGATGTCCCGGAGCTGTTCCTTATCGGATAGCATGTTTGTACATAGCGTATCAACAATGGTTTCCACCTGATATTCTTTCACTTTGCTCACCAAAGGGCCCAAGCTGCAAGAAGCAAAAGTTACACATAAAGGAAAAACTATTTCACAGCAACTTTCCTTGGCAGAGCCTGGTAGATAGCAGTAATGAAGGAAATTTGCAGAAACCCCTTTCTCTTCCAGTTACTCTTCATTCTGGCTTGTACCAGGTACTTCATGGGAGTTCTAGTTCGCAAACAGTCATAATACATCAATGTTTGAGGTATGACTAGACCTTTAGTTGTCTCAGCCAAGAGGAAGCCTTGTGAGATAACAGATCAAGTAAACGGAGTGGGTATACACACTTCCCACTGTCTATTGCTTTGCAATAGCATGTCGGCTGAGCTACAAAGGGGAATCTAAACAGTTTCCAATGCTATCTCCAGAGTCAAATATTTTTCCTTCATTTTCCATGTGGCTCCTTCCTGGCTGTATGCGACAAACACGAGGGCCCTATTGGATGAACATGCAGGCACATAAATGCACATGTGAACATACACACACACAAACTTCCATCACGGTTTGTAATCATCCTCCACTAGCCACCCCCACCAAAGAATTCTGCCTGTCGATTAAGCCAGAAGACAAAAGTCATAACCTACACATTGACTTTGTAGTGTGTGAAACAGAAGAAGCTCACGAGAAAGAAAACAGTCAGGGCCCAGCATCGGAAGCCCCACTTTCGGATACTTTAAAGATTTGTCTCCATTATTAAGCATTATGATTGATGCAGGGGAAGCCTTACCATTTGACAGCCAGGTTCTGCACCTCCCCGTTTTTGTCCTCCAGCAACTTCAGCAGCATTTTCACAACTTTTTTCTCACTGTCTTCATCTAACTTTATGGAATCCTTCTGCAGTTCCATCATCAGGTCATTGGTAGCCATAAACCTGAGAAGAAGGAATGAATGCCAACAATAGGCTGGGCTCAGAAATTCAAATTACAGCCACTGGCAGCCACACAGAAGATGAAAATTCATAGCTCCAGAATGTAAAAAGCAACAAATCTTCACTGACACTAACCAATTCATAAATTGTCCAGCAGCTAAATGAGTAAAGAGTAACCCTTTAATACAGAGATTAAATACAGGGTGTACGGAAATGAAGAAGAGAAGAGATTGGATTTATACCCTGCCCTTCACTACACAAAGGAGTCTCAAGAGCAGCTTACAATCTCCTTTCCCTTTCCCTCCCCACAACAGACACAACAGGAATCATATATGACCTGACATGTTTCGGCCCAAACCAGCCGTCTTCAGAGGTCAAATAGTACAGAATATAACATACAACAAAGCCCCTATTACACTTGTGAGGCAGTGAACAATTGATATAGGACCCAAACAGGAATGTTCCAATCTGGAATTGAATGGCACAAAAAGATACGTGAGGCCACAAATGTACCTGGCCTTGTGTCAGTGGCAGTTACATATATTGGAGAAAGTAATATTGCCAATATGTACCTTCCAGTTTAGGTCCTAAGATTACACAAGTACAATCACCATGGGGTCGTTTCATAGAAAAAGAGCTAGGGGAACTCATTAGCATAACTCATTAGCATATGTCACACCCCCTGACATCACCGGAAGTGTGTCATAAGGCCACACACCCCGCCCCCAACGGTCCCGGCCGCCGCTGCCGGCCTTGGAGCTCCACTGCCGAGCCCCATGAGGGGCCTGGCGGTGGACCTGCAAGGCCGGCGGGAGTGCAAGGAAGCCCCGCAAAGGCCCTCCCTGGCCCCAGGCAGGCAGGGGTGGGGAGAGGCAGGGAGGAAGCAACTTACCTTCCCTCTTCTCCTGCCTCCTCCTGGCTGAATGAGGGCCGGAAGCGGGGCGGCCGGAAGCAGGGGGCGGGGCTTCGTCATGTGCCCCGCCCCCGTACCTCACCCGGGGGGACTGCGATCCCCCCCGAAATGACCTCTGCAATCACCTTATCAGGGCCAATGTAACATCAATATGTATCATTCTACAGTTCACTGCTGTACACAGAACAGCAACTCCCAAGCTGCATCATTTCTAACCCCACTAGGGATATTATGCTTCCAGAGAGCAGCTTTTAATACACTGTTTATCTTTGTTTAGTATGACTAGCATATGATTCAGAGTGAGGAGGGGGAGGAGAGTTGCTAATAGATAGCGAACTCAGATGCTAAGGAATCCAGAGCTTCCAGCTAAGGGTTAATGTTAGCCTGAAGGGTTGGGACAGAATATTCTACTTGGTTAGGGGGGAATTAGTTATAGTAAGGCATCTAGATGAACAATGTAAAATAAAATAACTGCATAGGGAGCAGGGCAAGCTAACCAAAATTTTAACTCTGCATAATTTCAACCGTACTGTTCTAATGTGCAGTGGCACTTTCATCCACTTCCTGTCTTGCTTCAAATGGAGAAAAGTAGCTAAGAAAATGGCAACAGGCAAAGGGAAGACAATAAAATCACAAAAAAACATAGCTCCAGCAGCATATCCTGAATGGAGCAGAACTGGCTTTTGCAGAGCAGGTTAAGAGCCTGGGCATGTTTATGTTCCCACCAGCAGCCCTCATAGCTTGCCACAGAGAGATTTTTTAAAAATTGGTTGGCATTGCATGTGCTATGACATCACTGCCAGGGGAAACCCGAAAGTGACATTGGATTGCTGCAGGAATCACTGGCATATCCTAGAGCTACCCAGCGTCACCTCTAGGTTTCCCCCAGAACTAATGTGAGGCACACACTGCACTGTGCCCCCAAAGCTCCCTGCACCCAAAGCTCCCACTGATTTCCAGGCATGACCTGGCAACCCTAGGACTTGCTGTTTAAAAAGCACTACACGTGCAGTGGCCAAGAGCGCCTTCTGGTTCACCGGTTCTCTCCTTTCTTGGACTCGGCTGATCTGGCTATGCCAATCCACACTTCTGTAAATTCACAGTTGGGTTACTGTTATGTGCTCTGTGTTGAGCTGCCCTCGGAACCAACCCAGAAACGGTAGCTGGTCCAGAATGCGGCAGTGTGATTACTGTCAGGACTAGGGTTACCAATCTCAAATTGGTGGCTGGAGATTTCCCACCATTATGACAGATCAGTTTATTTGGAGAAAATGGTTGCTTTGGAGGATGAACTCTATGACAATATAACCTGCTGAGGCCCCTCCCCTTCCCAGTCCCTGCCCTCCCCAGGATTCACCTCCACCCTCCAAATGTCCAAGTATTTTCAAGCCCAGAGCTGGCAACCTTAGTCAGGGGCCTAGCCAATGGGAATGTACCTTGCCCATCTTGAAACATCTACATTGCTGCCATTTTATTTCCATCAATTCAAGGTGCTGGTTACGACCTTTAAAGCCCTTCATGGCCTAGGGCCCACACATCTGAAGGACCATGTCCTCCCATGTGGTCCTGAGTGCCAACTCAGGCTGTCACCTACTGGCTGTCTCCTCACTTAGGGTGGCCAGCCTGGCATGAACCACAGCTAGGGATGCCAACCTATGGGTGGTAGCTGGAGATTTCCCACTATTAAAAACTGATATCCAGGTGACAGAGATCAGTTCACTTGGAGAAAATGGCCACTTTGGAAGGTGGACTCTATGGCATTAGACCCCATTGAAGTCCCTGCCCCCTTCCCAAACCCCACCCTCCTCAGGATCCACCCCCCAAATCTCCAGGTATTTCCCAACTCTAACCAGAGCGTGGGCCTTTTGCATCATGACCCCACTCTGGAATGGGCTCCCTAAAGAGATGAGGGGGCGCCCCCTTATTTGAGATGTTCAGGAAACACTGCAAGGCTTATTTGTTTGCCAGGGCTTCTGATGGGGTATGAACAAGGAGGCATCTTGCAGAGGGGGAGGTGGTATTTGGGATTTTTATTTTGTTTTCTATCATTACCTGTAAGCTGCCTTGAGCCAAGAGGTTAAGGTGGGGTATAAATATTTTTGCTCCATATTAAACATTCCCAAATTCACAGCCCAAAACAAATTCTTTTACAGCCCTACTGATATCTGCAGCATAACTAACTCCCAGATGCAGAACTATATTTTGGGTCTCCTGCAGGGTTGTCAATCTCCAGGTGGGGCCTGGAGTTCTCCCAGAATTATGACTGAGCTCCAGACCACAGAGATCCCTTCTTCTGGAGAAAATGACAGCTTTGGATGTTGGACTGGCATCACATTGCTGCCGAGCTCTCTCCCTTCCCCAAATTCTGCCCTCCACAGGCTCCACCCCCCAAATCTCCAGGAATTTCCTTACCAGTTATCAACTATATGATCTGGTAACAGTCCATTCCATAAACATAAATAAGCTAAAGTCCCAGTTGCCTCCGTTTAAGCCAGTTTAGGCCTCATCTTTTACTGAAATTAACCTGATTTCCGTCCCCTTAACATGCTGGGATGCCAACTCAGCTGGTTCCAGCAATGCTATGTAAAGGTAAAGGTTCCCTTGCTCGAAAGCCAGTCGAGTCCAACTCTAGGGTTGCGGTGCTCATCTCCGTTTCAAAGCCGAAGAGCCAGTGCTGTCCGAAGACGTTTCCATAGTCATGTGGCCGGCATGACTAAACACCAAGGCGCACGAAACGCTGTTACCTTCCCACCGAAGTGGTACCTATTTATCTACTTGCAATTTCTTGCTTTCAAACTGCTAGGTTGGCAGGAGCTGGAACTAGAGATGGGAGCTCACTCCATCATGCGGCACACTCGGGTCTCGAACTGCTGAACTACTGACCTTCCACAGCCTGCAGTTCAGCATCTTAACCACTTGAGCCACCGCAGCTCCTATGTGTACTATGTATGCTATGTACTCTGTTTTAAATGTTCTGTTAACTGACCCACAAATCCACTTTCACTTATTTGGTGGCTGATTTTTTCCTCTTTTGTTTGGTCACACCATCAAAACACGCCCCCCATATTTAATCTGCGGCTCATTTTTGCTTGTCACTTCAGAGAATTATGTAAAACGCATCTTTGTTCAGCAACAGTTAAACTCCAATTTGGTTCACTTGACAGCACAAACAAGCCAGTGGACAAGTGACTATTACTCCCCAGCTGTGCGGTACTCTAAGGAGACTGGAGATCACATTTGTTTTTCTTCAGACAAGACAGTGAAGGCAGCCAATCATCTCCCAGCCAATAACAGCTGATTAGGAAGATTCCTCCCCCCCCCCCAACTGCAGCTGTCTAGCAGTGCATCTCTATCTCAGTCTCGGAGGAGGGACATAAAAGGATATCAGAATGTTAGCTATTGAGGGGCCGCAAGAGAAACTGTAGGATGTAGTATTCTCCTTCCCGCCCCGGAAGCTTGCAGTACATTACATATCTGGCTTGTTGGCTCTGTATAACATCTCCTGCAGGGGGAGGTGAGATTTTGTATAGACTATAGCTAGTGATCCTCCTTGGTTAGCCTTCTCTTCTTCATTACAGGGGTTTTGGCTGGATCCAGGTGATTGTTGTTGTTTTGCTGCAGCTATAAAAAAAAAATCTCCCCCCTCGTCCTCCATAAATCTCCCAACATCCCAAAGGCTTGTGAATCACACACGTGTGCAATTCACCGATGGGGGCATCCCCTAAATCTCCAAACATGGTTCTGCAATTCACCCCACACCCACACCCCAACCCAAGGGAAGTGTAGATCCTACCTAAAATCTTTGTCGGTGGATGTCATCTTCTCCAGGAGGTTGGAAATGTGATAGGATATGTTAGTCATCTTGGACAGCTGGTTCTGGAAGACGATCTCTTCTCTACTGTCTTGCTTTCTTAAAAAAATAACAATGGGAGAGCTGAAGTTTCTTGCTGCCCTAAGCAGGGGTTCTGTCTGCTGGGGATCTGCATGGAGAATATGGCGACAGGAGGGACACAGTGAGACAGGGGTAGTGTTTTCCCCCCTCCCCCACCCCCTCCCCGTTAGAAGTCGCTGGAAAAGCTGAGCCCCTGTACTGTTATCATTGGATATATATAGCCTATGGTCGGAGCTAGAGCCGAGCTAAGGGCGCCACCTACTGACAGACATCTGCAGCCTCTCAAATTACAGGCGAGGGAAGAGAAGGAAGCAATTGTGCTTCTAACTCCATCCCAGAGGCTTACCTTGCTATTGCGGCAGTACAACTGCAGGTGCTTGCAAACACACACTGCAATCAAGGGATGATCATCTAAAAAACAAAAAGGCACCGGCATAAAAACACTTTTAATGCTGAGACCATTTGGAATGAAAACTAGGTTTAGAGGGTCATTGGGATTTGTCTGTATAGCGAACAAACAGAAGTCTTGTTCTGGAATACAATTTTGTTAGTTTTTAGGATACCTCAAAAGAACTGCTAACTTTTGCTGCAACAGTCACACACCGCTAACCCTCTGGAATTTTTATCTTTAATAACGATTTCCAAAAAAGATAAGAGTGATTGTTGCTACATTGTTTGTAGCACTTTTAACTTAACTGGGGTCACTGCAGGAGTAAAGCTGACCTTGTTTTAGCGCACATTTACATTTCTATAAGAAATTGGCTCAAAAAGACTTTGCAACCAGATTTTGAAGAGTGACAAACGCCTCAGCATCTAACAGGAACAAGCTGTTAAACGGGCATTTGGGAAGCACTGTTAAGTTCTTTTGTCCTTACCCAGAGCCTTTCTTTGTAGAGTACCATTATCCCCATTGTGCAAACAGAAAAGAGAGAGTGCAATCCTAAAAGCACTTTCCTGGAAATAAGCCCCACTGAGTAGACTTCAGTATGACTCTGAGTAGACTTCCTTATAATAGCTCTTTAAGAAACTTTTCTGAGGCAGAACAAGTCAGTGGATTCTACTACCTCTTCAGTATGTAGGGTTGCCAGCCTCCAGGTGGGGCCTGGGGATCTCCCGCTTTTACAACTGATCCCCAGCCGACAGAGATTAGCTCCCCTGGAGAAAATTGATACTTTGAAGGGTGGACTCTATGGCATTGTATTATGTTGAGGCCTCTCTCCTCCCCAAACCACGCCCTCTCCTGGCTCCACCCCCAAAGTCTCCAGGTATTTTCCAACCCAGACTTGGCAACCCTATCAGTATGACATGTATTTAACAGTGGCACTACAGGATTTCGCTGTCATTGAAATTTAAAACTGCCAAACCAGGAACAGTTAAAGACTGCAAACAACAGCTCCAGCCATCCTATTCCTTGGGTAGGGATAGGATAAGCAACAACCATCTGACATCTGATTTACAGACTCAATACCACTCACACACAACAAGACCAAGTATCTACAGTATAAAACCTTGTTACATACAAAGATATCTTTAGCAGTAACATTAAAGTTGTTTGGGTGAACTTTGGTAGCAAATTGACTCAATAAGAAAATATTTAATAAGAGTTTGGAAAGCATTACGGAGTCATTTATTCTGAATTTGAAAAAAGGGTTATAGAGGGTTATCTGAGTACAGTTCAGTCCATCCAATTAAACGATGAAATATAAGCTGCTGCTTCTATGATGATATTTGAGTTTTTTAGTTAAATGTGACACAAGGCAAAGAAAAAGATACAAATAAAAATAATAATGGAAAAGAACAAAAAAACAAATTTTGAAGCATTAAGGAAAAGTATCAAATCACTTTTTTTACACAACTGTTCCTGTGTATGTGTTAAGTGCTATCAGGTCGCTTCAGTTCCTACTTATGGCAACCCTATGAATTAAAGACCTCCAAATGTCTTATCCTTGACTTTCTTGCTCAGGTCTTGCAAACTGAGAGCTGTGGCTTTCTTGACTGAGTCAATCCATGGCATGTTGGGTCTCCCTCTTTTCCTGCTGCCTTCCATTTTTGCTAGCATTGTTTTTTCCAGTGACTCTTGTCTTCTGATAATATGCCCAAAGTACAATAGCCACAGTTTGGTTATTTTAGCTTCTTAGGATAATTCAAGCTTCATTTGATCTAGAACCCTTTTATTTGTCTTTTTGCTGATCCATGGAATCCATACAATTCTCTTCCAACATTGCATTTCAAAGGAATCAACTCTCTAACCTATAAACTTTCTTCACTGTTCAATTTTCACACCCATAAATTGTAATGGGGAATACCATAATATGAATTATCTTGATCTTGGTTGCCAGCGATACATCCTTACATTTAAGGATCTTTTCTAGCTCCGTCATGGCTGCCCTCCTCAGTCTTAATCACCTTCTAGTTTCTTGGTTGCAGTGTCCCCTTTGGTCAATGAAAGAGCCAGGGAACAGAAAATCTTTTAACAATTTCAATTTCTTCATTGTCAGTCTTAAAAATTGTATAATTCCCCAGCGGTCGTTAAATTTGTCTTTTTTATGTTCAGCTGTAATCCTGCTTTGACACTTTCTTCTTTAACTTTCATCAGTAGTTGTGATTATGTTTACCAGCTTTAACAATAACTTTACACTATAGGAGGAGGAGAAATAAGTGGTTACTTCTCTAAGGCTGCAATCCAAAGAGCACGTTTCTCAGAGTAAGCCTCATTGACTAAAACGGGATTTTTTTCTGAGTAGACCTGTTTAGGCTTGTTCCAAAAATGACCCATAAACCAAAACAGTGGTGGAGGCTGCAAAAACATTCGTTTTTATTAAGACCATCAACTTGCCTTTCGGCAATCCACTTATTTCAAACTTTTTGCAGGTCAAAGGGCAGCAAACCCATGTGTATTACTGTGAAGTCCTTGCTCCAGTTCTTTGGAGCAAGGCTGATCTAGAAGTGTGACATACAAATATTTTAATTTTACAAAATAAAAAGTGAGACTGAGGCAGAAGAGCTCAAAGTTTTGACTGAAGAGCCATTAGCACACCAAGCTTACAGAAACCCGTCAGCGCCACAATATCCGCGCAGGAGCTGGGCTGAAGAGCGAATCAATTCAGTGGCCTGTAATCCTGTGATAACAGTAGGGATCGAAGATCCAGGTGGTCGGCCGTGTTGGTCTGAAGCAGTAGAACAAATTTAGAGTCCAGCGGCACCTTTAAGACCAACAAAGGTTTATCCAAGGTACGAGCTTTCGTGTGCAAGGCACACTTTTCCAGATAGGGATCGAAGTTACGCTGGAGCAAAGCAACTGGTGACAGGAGCGAGAGGCCTTGAGACACCTCACGGAAAAAACCGGGCCCGAGCAGCACGCGGAACCTTTCTGCATTGGTATAATGCCGGCCGGGAAAATTTCGCTGTAGTACGCGGAGCTCTAAGGCGATTTGCCACGTCTGAGAATAGCCGGGAGACCAGCTCGTGCAACTGGGGTCGGTGCCGCCGAGAACAATCTGTGGTCGCCATGGTGAGAACGGGGGGGGAGGCTGGGAAGGGCCATTATTGAAATGCGTACAGCTTGTTCGGGTATCTAGATGAGGGAGTCCCCGGGGGCGGAAACTTTTCGCGTAGCACTTTACCTACCTTGTAGGGCTGCTCCCGGCGACGCAGATTCTCACACCCCTTTTCCTGGGGCTATCTAGTCGGCAAGGGTCCTCCTAACCACATAAGCGTTCCTTGGCTGGATCAAAGCAAGTAGGGTTGCCAGGAGCCCGGAGAGGGGAAAAATGTCCAGCTCCTTTAATAGAGGCGTAATAAGATCGTATTTACCAGATGAGGTTACCAACCTCCAGGCCATCAAAAGCTTCAGCTGCCTGTTTCTGCAATCTGCACATTAATTCTCTGTAAAGGGGACTGGATTACTCCCCCCCCCCCCATAGTTGCAAATTCTCCATGCATGCCCATTTCCAACCTCTGCCCTTTTCCTAAACCTGGCCAGCATAGCCACGTCAACATGCCCTCTCCAACATTTCACAAGTGAAGACAGGAATGCTCTTGTACCTCTATCTCGTTCTCTTAGGGTTGCCAGTCTCCAGGTGGTGGCTGGAGGTTTCTCAGAATTACAACTGGTCTCCAGGTAACAGAAATAATTTCTCCTGGAGAAAATGGCTGCTTTGGAAGGTAGACTCTATGGCATTACACTCCACTGAAGTCCCTCCCCTTCACCAAAACTTCCCTCCCTAGGCTCCACCCCCAAAGTTTCCAGGAATTTCCCAAACAACAGCTGGCAACCCTGCTTTCTCTTCACTGGTCAATAGATGAAAATGTTCCTCATATACCAAGGATTCTCTGTATTCACTCCTCCCAGTTACAAATAACTAAAGACTTTATCCATCTGCCTTTAAAACAGTGCAGGATGTTTAAAGATATATTGTGGGAAAATATAATGCTCTACAGTTTGTTAATATTAACTGTTTCAAACAAGCCAGCATGGCAGGTGGAAGATAAGCAGCTCTGCTTGCCAGAGGTCATTTCGGGGGGGATCGCGGGGGAGTTCCCCTGGGTGAGGTACGTGGGGCGGGGCACATGACGAAGCCCCGTCCCCTGGTTCCGGCCGCCCCGCTTCCGGCCCTCATTCAGCCAGGAGGAGGCAGGAGAAGAGGGAGGGTAAGTTGCTTCCTCCCTGCCTCTCCCCACCCCTGCCTGCCTGGGGCCAGGGAGGGCCTTTGCGGGGCTTCCTTGCACTCCCGCCGGCCTTGCAGGTCCACCGCCGGGCCCCTCATGGGGCTCGGCAGTGGAGCTGCAAGGCCGGCGGCGGCCGGGACTGTTGGGGGCGGGGTGTGTGGCCTTATGACACACTTCCGGTGATGTCAGGGGTGTGGCCTTATGACACACTTCCGGTGATGCCAGGGGGTGTAGCATATGCTAATAAGTTATGCTAATGAGTTCCCCTAGCTCTTTTTCTACGAAACGACCCCTGCTGCTTGCACTAAGGATCATTGAGTGGTCTCTTGCCCCTTATGCACTACTGAGGTGTCTTCTCTGCTGCCTGCATTTGCCCTGGGATAGCTTGTCCTGTACTGATTTGCAAAGCAAAGAAGATATGTGTTCTTTTGATTAAAGATATTACAGATGGTATAATTTACATTTAGAACGAGTGGCATTATTACTGGGATGCCAGAAGTAATGGTAAATGAGGAAGATCTAGAATTAAGAACTGTAGCAGCAGCAGAATAAAAACATGAAGATAATACTAGATCTGATCAAAGATGTACCAACTTTAACATCTTTCTTTCCCTCACAGTCAGGTGCCATATGTAAAGTTTTTAAACAAAATATGATGACTCAATTTACCACTAGATTAAAATCTTGGTGTGGAGCAATGTTCCCTCTAAACTGTGGAGTCTTGTGAGCAAAAATTCTACTTTGTGAGCTACTGGCATTAAAGTTGTGAGAGAGCGTTTGGCTACTGCATAAATTAGTTTGCCGTGGAGCCATCCTTCCCGAGCTAAAACAAAAATGTGAGAGCCAGAGGCTAAAAAACTGAACTAGCTTACACTAACTCATCTTAGAGGGAACACTGGTGTGGAGTCTGTTAACTGATTTCACAATTTCTAACAAAGTATTTTATTATTAGGTGTCTGTGATTAATACAGTGGATACCTCCCATGAGGACATGATAGTAAGTATCCGATATATGTCCCCCCCCCATAAGAATTTTTTCTCCCTTAAAAGTGTGGAATTTATAATGTGTATGACCCTTAAAATACCTGTCTGCCAAGTACTCCTTGCCACTATGAAGGAAGAGAGGAGAAATAGCAGTGGTGCTGTGTGTGTTTTCAGAGGGAGGGATGTCTTGGTTGATTCTAAGAAGCAGAGTGTGAATTGATGAGCACCCTTAGAGCCATCCATTGTCTACTAGGGGGCTTTGGATCTCTATGTATTTAAGAACAAAAGGAGAGGCCTAATGTTTTCTCCTGCCACTGCTATTCAGAGGTTTTCTGCCTCTTTGAATTTTTTTTGCATCTATAAGCCAGAACTGTTTAAAGATCTGGGACGGGCTCTAGTAACTTTTCTCCATTTCTTATAAACCAGGAGCATGTTGGAGGAGGAGAATTAAACTATTAACTGCTGCTATGGATATACCCTCCAGGCATCTGATGAAGTAAACTCTGACACACAAATGCTAATGCTAGAATAAATTTTTGTTAGTCTTTAAATTGTCACTGGACTTTCTTGTTGCTGTATAAGAATAACAATAGCCGGGCTGACTCAAATAGTGGGGGAAATATTTTATTTTATTTTTAAAACCTAGAAGGCATAATCCACTTGAAACATCTGCACTGAAATAACTGGCATTTGTGGTCTGAGTTGTCCTTTGCATCAATTGGACTTGTATAAGTGATGTTCTTTAGCACTGTGTTTATATCATGTAATGAGCTGGTGTCAGAACAAGCGATATGTGCCTTCTGGATAACTGCTGAGTTATCCAGTTAATGCTAGAATAAATTTTTGTTAGTCTTTAAATTGTCACTGGACTTTCTTGTTGCTGTATAAGAATAACAATAGCCGGGCTGACTCAAATAGTGGGGGAAATAATTTTTTTTTTAAAAAAAACCTAGAAGGCATAATCCACTTGAAACATCTGCACTGAAATAACTGGCATTTGTGGTCTGAGTTGTCCTTTGCATCAATTGGACTTGTATAAGTGATGTTCTTTAGCACTGTGTTTATATCATGTAATGAGCTGGTGTCAGAACAAGCAATATGTGCCTTCTGGATAACTGCTGAGTAGCTTGGTTGTTCTGACCATCAGTCTATCTGCAAACTATCGGATTCTACACTGTATTCTACATTACTGCTGTCTGCCTGGCCATGCCCCACCAAAATAGTATCTAATGCAGTGGTTTTTTTAAAAACTAGCAACAAGGGGGAATTAAACATTATTTCCTCAGTAATAATTCTAAAATACTTCAAATTTCAAGTACACCCCCCTCCCTGACCATGGGAGACGGGGTGATAGGATAGTTGGGGGCCCTAGCCTGGTTTTGCTTGTCTTCCCAGTTGTCATCCCTACTTAAGATTTTGTCTTGTGGGACAGTCTGCTACAGTACTGATTGTCATCATAGTGTAGTGTAGCCTATAGATTCTTCTACCATAAAATACTATAAACAATGCCCTGACCTGGATAGTACAGGCTATCCTGACCTCGTCAGATCTCGGAAGTTAAGCAGGGTGGGCCTTGGATAATATTTGGAAGGGTGACCTCCAAGGAATACCAGGGTCGTGACGTAGAGGCAGGCAGTGGCAAACCACCTCTGGAATGTCTTTTGCCTTAAAAACAAGTCTAGCTCGACACCTAGTAGTGCATAACACTAAAAGAGCTAGAACTTCTGGCTGCCAGACAATCTTAGGATTTCCTACACACACTGCCATATGATAATAGCAATAATAACTATAATCTATTTTAATGAACCACCCTTTGCCATCCTACTGTAGCTGGTGTCATTTGACACATCAGGATTTTTTTAAAAAACCCTTAGTATGAGTGAAATGAGAGTTAACAGGGAATCATGAAAGCTTTGTAACTACTTTCCAGCATGATGCGCAGATGGATTATTACGGCACTCGGTTGGCAACCTGCTCCTCGGACAGATCAGTGAAAATATTTGATGTCAGGAATGGAGGGCAAATTCTGATAGCTGACTTAAGAGGGTGAGTGAATTCAAGGCAAGAAGATCCTTTGCTGTATCCCCCACTTTCAGTTTTTGGTTATCCACACAATAACTAGCTTAATATGTTGTTGAAGGCTCAGTTGGCACTGCTGTTACACTTTGTTTTGGTTTTATTTACAATTTTGTTCTGTACCCAAGTATCAGTTCCGTGGAAGCTATTTATCGAAGATGCCTTAAATGGAACCTTGTGTATGTTTTCTGTCTGAGTAAAGGAAGCTTAAAAGCGATCTGTAGGTTTTGCAACTCATTGAATGTTGTTTGCACTGAGGGCACTAGTGGGTGGCGACTAGTGGGTGGCGATTCAGCTGCAGGGCTATCTGGATGACGCTTCTGTCCTTGACCCATTCCAGTCTGGTTTTCGCCCGGGATATGGGACGGAGACAGCACTGGTTGCCATGACTGATGACCTCCGTAGGTATCTGGATCGAGGCAGTGTGGCGGCGCTGTTGTTGTTAGATCTGTCGGCCGCTTTTGATACGGTTGACCATCAGCTGCTGTCCCGCCGCCTCGTCAACGTGGGGATCCAGGAGCTTGCCCTTCAATGGCTTGCCTCATTTCTCCAAGGTCGGGGACAGAGGGTAGTGCTAGTCCCAGAGGCACCCACTGGAATGTGGGGTGCCTCAGGGGGCGGTGCTTTCCCCAATGCTGTTTAACATATATATGCGCCCCCTCGCCCAGATTGCCTGGAGGTATGGGCTAGGGTGTCATCAATATGCAGATGACACCCAGCTCTATTTGATGTTGGGTGGCCAGTCGGACTCCAACCCAGAAGATCTGCACCGGGCTTTACATGCCGTGGCTGGGTGGCTCAGACAGAGCAGGCTGAAATTAAACCCGGCGAAGACAGAGGTCCTGTGCTTTAGTCGGACCGGATCGAGGTTAGGGCTCCTGCTTCCGACCTTAGATGGGGCGCCTTTGGTGTCAGGTTCGGAGGTTAGGAGTTTAGGAGTGCTCCTGGACCCCTCCTTAACAATGGAGGCCCAGGTGGCAGCCACTGCCAGATCAGCCTTTTATCATCTTCGGCTGGTATGGCATTTGGTACCTTTCCTCGACCGCAACGACATGGCCACAGTGATCCATGCGACGGTCACCTCGAGGTTAGACTACTGTAACGCTCTCTACATGGGGCTGCCTCTGTCGCAAATCCGGAAGCTACAGCTGGTGCAGAATGCTGCGGCCAGGCTGCTGGTGGGCGCCCCTAGGTGGGAGCACACCCGACCTGTACTGAAAGCGCAGCACTGGCTCCCTATAGCATACCGGATTCGCTGCAAAGTGCTGGTGCTTACCTTTAAAGCCCTACATGGCCAGGGTCCAACATACCTGAGGGACCGCATTTCCCCACATATTCCCCAAAGAGCACTTCGGTCAGGGTCACAACACCGGCTGGTGACCCCGGGCCCCAAGGAGGCCAGGCTTGCGGCAACGAGGGCCAAGTCCTTTTCAGTGGCGGCTCCTATCTGGTGGAATGAGCTCCCAGAGGAGATCAGGGCCCTGCGGGACCTCATGCAGTTCCGCAGGGCCTGTAAGATGGAGCTCTTCCGCCAGGCCTTCGAGTAGGAGCCGCCACTGCCACTACCACTACCACCACTGCTCCAGCACAAGAGCGATACCGCCGGAGGGCCAGGTAACATCCATCTACGGCCCTAGTCCTCCCCTTCTGCTTGTAAGAGATAGGGGAGTTTTATCTTGTATCTGATAATATTGAATTTTACCTGTTTTATCTAATTTATATATTATATGCACTGTTGTGCCGTCTGTAAGCCACCCTGAGCCCGTTCGCGGGGAGGGCGGGGTATAAATAAAATTAATTAAATAAATAAATAAAATAAATGCAAATTCAGGATGAAATGCAGATGAAGATTTAGATGGCAGAGGTGATAGCACCTTCATCTTTCAAGGAACAGTGGTTCCACAAAGGAACTGATGAGAAAGGGGAAAAGGGAAAAGGGAAAACTAAAGCACTTGGCTGAGAAATAGATGAAATAGATGGGAACTGAAATAGATGGGAGGGATTTTTTAAGGAGCTTTCTCTAGATTTTCTTTATCCTCTTTCCCCATGTACTTTGCCTTATGAGTGTGCCTAGAAATTGCATATTGGTTAGCAGGGGTCATTTCGTAGAAAAAGAGGTGCAGGAGCTCATTAGCATAACTCATTAGCATAACTTATTTGTATATGCCACACCCCCTGACATTACCGGAAGTGTGTCAGACACCAACACCCAGCACTCAGTCTCCACTGGACTGTTTTGGATTGCTAGCTATGGGGGGGGGGATGTGCAGATCTGTCCTCCCAGAGGAGGGAGAGCTTGTACCTGAATAAAACTTCTTCTGAAAGGTGCCACTGGACTGTTTTGGGCCGGGGGAGGCTCTGCAGCTTACCTGGCTGCTTCTTGCTCTGACTGATGGCTGCTGGGAGCAGGGGGTGGAGCTTGTTGCATGTGCCCGCCCCCGGGTTCTTCACTGCCGGAGCTCCGCTCCTGTGCGCTCCTGCAGGAAGTGACCCCTGTTGGTTAGTCCTCCATTGTGTAGTCACTCACTGTGGAACTGTAGCCACAAGGAGCAAAGGTTCCCTGACTGTAGAATGCAGAGCTCTAGAAGAGACCAGATGGGACATCCATCTTTTGAGTGTGGGGGCTGGCTTTGATTTATCCGGTTGATAATTTTGTAAGTCTGTGCATGCTGTCCTTTGTTGTCGTGTGTGGATTAAAAAAAAAAATCTGTCTCTTTAATTTGTACTTAATGAGTATCTGATCTGAAGGGTGGGCCATCAGTCAAAATAAATATACTAGCAAGTCTGTTCAGGGGGCAAGTGTCTGCCACTGCAACATGGGTACTGTCTGTTGCTCCTGGGCTTTCTCATTGAGATTTGTTTGTATCTATAGCCTTAAATATTTGTACAGTTGTCAACAGCTTCAAAATGCTATGACATATAATAACCAAAAATGAAACATCTTGGCATGCAAATACGTTCTTTCTTAAAACCTGCATTATTTATTTATTGTAGGCATGAAGGGCCAGTGTGGCAGGTTGCCTGGGCTCATCCCATGTATGGAAACATCCTGGCCTCCTGTTCCTATGACCGGAAGGTTATCATCTGGAAGGAAGAAAATGGTACCTGGGAAAAGACATATGAATACACAGGGCATGATTCTTCAGGTATGGATGTTCTTCTTGTAATACTGGGACCACAGTATTACACTTCTCTGTAGACTGAGCTTGTAATAATTACAAGCTGATTTAAAATTTATGCAGCTGTAGTGGTCACAAGCTTTCAGGTTCTTTAATGAGCATACTGGGTTTCTGTCGCGTGACCCCTGTGTCCTTTTACGTTTAATGCTAGGCTGCACCTTGCTTGAACTGTTCTGATTGTAGATCTTATTGTTAGGCTCTTGAATTTTGGTTTGGTTCCTGCACTTCCCTGTGTATGTAACAGTGTATGTCTTCACCTCCAGGTTTACTCCCCTGCCATGGCCCACATCTCAACTACAGGCCATGTAGTCATTAGGGGTCTACCTGGTCACAATATGGTTTGAGGGGGGGTAAATACATAACTACTTTCTCTTTCTAGACCCTTCTCTGTTGCACAAGCTATTTCATGTTCCTCAAGGTTATTCTTTCAGAAATAGCTGAACTTAGTACCGCTTTCCCATTCCGTAGTATAGTGTAGTTTAACAACGTATGAAAGGAGTGGAGTTTCCAGTATCCAGTTCTGTGGCCATTCTGAAGTCTTATGTGGCATGATTCTGTGAGAGATAAATATGTGAAAGGGGTTTTATCCTGGCCAGCCAAAAACTTAGTTCAGAGTTCTTTCCCCCCCACCTGCAGCCTGAAACTGGTACAGAAAACTCTGTTCCTGTTAAAAATAAAGCTTTTACCTAGCATGGGGAACACCCACAGTCCTTCTTTCATTTCCTTTATTGCACATCTAATCCTAATCGCTGTGTAAACAAATAACTGCTTCAGGAAGACTGGAGTGACTCAAGCAGGTAGACAGGATTGGAAATCTAGGTAGAGTGATTTTTTCATAACAGTTGCACTTGGCATCAAATCACCTTCTGCCTTTTCCCCAAGTGGCTGCACCACCACTTTGAGTTTACCCTCTGTGATGTTTCCTTGCTGTTTCAAGCCAACTATGTTGCCTTCACCACTGGTGTTTGCAGATGCAGAATAGTGGTATCACATGAATCAGCTGCTCATGATAAAGCAGCACTGAAGATAACAAACTGTATACTGCCATAAAAGTGTATGGGTCATCTCACACACACACTTGTGGGTTCTTTCTGCAAAGTCTTTTAAAATAGCTTTTCAGTGGCCAGGCAGCATAACTGGACAGTGTTTGTCCTGTTTTGCAGAGCCCCATATGCCATTTTTGGCTACATTTGTCACATTCACACATATCTATAAGACCAGGGAGCACTTGTTTCCCCCCTGGATTTCCAACTGATCTGTATAATCATTCCATTTCTTTATTGTCTGGCAGTCAATTCTGTGTGTTGGGCACCACAAGACTACGGATTGATCCTGGCTTGTGGAAGCTCGGATGGGGCCATCTCTCTGTTGAACTACACTGGTGATGGACAGTGGGAAGTGAAAAAAATTGGCAATGCACACACAGTAAGTATATGGACACTAGGGAGGAAGGCCCATTGCGGAGGGCAATGCAACGGGCGGCTAGGCGCCCCCCCCTGCCTGCTTCCCGTCTCGCCTCCTTCCCCTCTCACCGTGACGCAGGCGGCCTGCGCCCGTCACTGTTCCCGCGCGGTCTCCTTGCCCCCTCCGGCGGACCCAGCCACTCGCGGGACTTGCCTGTGCCGCGGCGGGCGCTCGGCTCCTCCCTCTCTGTGTGCTTCCCTCTCAGCCGTGACGCCGCCGGTCTGAGGCCACCGGCCGGTGCAGGCGCCCGTCACCTCCAGCCCCCGGGACCATCCTCCGCAGGCGCCGCTCTTAGGCCGGTCGCCTCCAGCCCCCGGGAACGTGACGCTGCGTCTGGGGTGGGATCCAGACGGCGTGGCCAATGGGAGGTGGGCGAGCCGGTGACGGGCAGCCGAGCCGTCCAAACACTGTTGGTGTGAGTTTGCGTGAGTTTGCGTCTTACAGCTTTATTATAAGGGAGAGATTCCATGCTGATTTTGCTAATCTAAAGTCCAGAGTTAAGGCAGAAAGCTGCCTGAGTGTCATGCATAGTAGCTATGGGCTCTAAGATCCAAGAACAGAATATGTTGGCCACTATATTAGGAGGCTACGTAGTTTAGTTCTGGGACATGCACTTTTGCATGTGTAAGGTTCTGTGTTCAGTCCCCAGCATCTCTGCATAAGGGGGATTATAAGACTGAGAGACCATGGAGAGGCATTGCCAGCCAGAGAATGCAGAACCAGGTTCAGTAGATCACTAGTGATGCAGTGTAAGGCAATTTCATATGTTCACAGAAAATAACATGGACATCTTAGATTTGTTGATTTAGAGCCTTAATTACTCTCAGGTATGTCTCTGCATGCAAGTGTTATCTGACTTCAAGCCTACTGTTAACAAAATACCTCCAGGAGGGCAGAAATTACGTGTGGATGTGTACCACGCATAAAGTGGCACAAGCCAGTCAAGGGTGTGCTTATCTGTTATGTCCTTTAAAACCAGAAAACTAGGTGGCACCTTGGGTATTTCTGTAGTTTGCAGCTGTGCAGAGCTATGACAGCTGTATGCGTTCTCTCACTCTTCCCTGTTGTTAAAGGCTCCCTAACTGTGACTGCAAGAGCAGCATGGAATGACCCGGGCATCCTAGCTTTAAAGGATCAGGACAAGTGCTCAGGGGCTCAGGATTTTCTCTGCTGTTCTTAACAAATAACATTTTCTCCAGCCTTTGTGGTTATCCATGATATGTACTATATAAATGTATGCTGCTGTTTTGGATTAAGAGACCATTCAGAGGAAAAAACAGTTTTCAGGCAGCTGTTTCAATGGATGGGCATGATGCTTGTGTGGTTGCTTTGGCTGTGAATTGAAGGAAATAGTATAAATTTCTCACCTTTAATAGATTGGTTGCAATGCTGTTAGCTGGGCCCCCGCAGTTGTACCAGGAAGCCTTCTAGAGCAACCATCAGGCCAGAAGCCAAACTACATCAAACGCTTTGCATCAGGAGGCTGTGACAACCTTATCAAGATTTGGAAGTAAGTTGTCTTGGAACTGACAACTTCTTGTAAAACAGATGAGAATATTTCTGTGCTTATCTCATTTTCAACCTTTCACCCTCAGAATTATCAGGTCATTTTTAGAAACTATCAGTTGATTTTTCCGTACTTGGTCTTATTTTCTCCATCCTTCATCTTTCCCCCCCATTATGATCGTGGCCAAGTGATGCATGCAGTTAACATCAATGTTCCCTCTAAACTGTGAAGTCTTGTGAGCAAAAATTCTGCTTTGTGAGCTACTGGCATTAAAGTTGTGAGCGAGTCATTTGGCTACAGCGTAAACTACTTTGTTCTGGAGCCATCCCCTCCTGAGCTAAGGCAAGAATCTGTGAACTGGAGGCTAAAAAGCTGTGAGCTAGCTCACACTAACTCACCTTAGAGGGAACACTGGTTGACATCCACGCCTCTAATCCCCTGCATAGTGCCCTGCCTTTCTGTTGTGTTCGGAGACTCCTCCAAGCCACTTCAGAATATGTTATTTATTTATTTATTTGCACTTTTTTTTACCCCGCCCTCCCTGCCAGAGCCGGCTCAGGGCAGCTTACATAAAACAGATGTTATGCCAAACTGAGCTCCCAGCAGAAGGGTGGGCCAAATGAGTAACTGTGGAAACTTTTCAGTTACTTTAAAATGCTGCTTCCCTTCTGTTTTCGAGCATGAGCAGAAGAGTGCACATAACTTCTGTACTCCAAAAATGTTATTTTCTGATAAGTTTCTGGATTTATTTATTTATATATTTATACCTACCCTACTTTTCTCCACAATGGGAACCCTAAAGTAATTTTTCCCCCTTCTCCGTTATATCCATCACAATCTGTGAGGTAGATTAGGCTAAGAGCAAGTGACTAGCCCAGGGTCACCCAGTGAGCTTCCACTGGAGAAAGGCGATTCAGTCCTGGGTCACCTAGATCTTAGTCCAGTGCTCTAACCACAACACCGTGGTTGTTCTGTTCATAGATATTGGTTTGACCTTTAATGTCCTAAAGAGTCTGGGACCAGAGTACGTTGAGAATCATCTACTCCTATACAGACTCTCCCATCTCTTTACATCTGTCTGAGGCCTCACTTAAATTGGCATGTGCAAGGCCTTTTCAGTAGTCACTCCAATACTGTAAAGTTCCCTTTAGAGCAGAGGTATCAAACTCACTTGTTACGAGGACAGGATCTGACATAAATGTCACTTTGTCAGGCCGGGCCATGTGTGCCATAAAATGTAATGCCAGGTACCAGAGAGAGCAACTGTATAAAGCACAGCAGATGGTAAGCGGCGATTTAGTGTGTCCTCCCTGCAGGCCCCACGGGCTGGGGGTGCAGAGGAAAACCCATATAGGCAGACCGGAGAGGCAGCAGTGCAGTGCTGGGCAGATGCTCCCACGATGCTTGACTGCTGCAGGCAAGGTTGTTCTGCCTTGCTGAAGCCGGCACAATCTGGCTCCCGGGCCTTATGTTTGACACCCCTGCTTTAGAGGCTTGCATTTCTACTCCACTTTTTAAGAGGCTGGTGGCGAAGCATGAGCTTTTACAGAAGCTTTCACGTGCTGCCATCGCAGATGATTTTAGTTGGTGGTCGTTGTCTTTTATGGCTTTCCGTGTCTCATGAACTGCCGTGAGTTACTTTCAGCATCAAAGCAGGAGAAAAGCTCAATGAATAAATATGCACATGTTCTTTGTAGTGCCACTTCCATGCTCCCAGCTCTACCCTGAGCTTAGTCTGCTCGCTCTGTAAAGACTCTTTGCAGGATCACCAAACGGTACACTCCGGTTTGAGAAAGTTGGAGATGAACTCTGGGGAAATCCCACTGTGTGGACAGATGCTTTTGTTTGTGTTGCAATATCTCAATTTGCATTCTCCCCCCCCCCCGATCTTGTCAGAGAAGAGGATGGCCAGTGGAAAGAAGAACAAAAACTAGAAGCTCACAGTGACTGGGTCAGAGATGTCGCCTGGGCCCCCTCCATAGGCTTGCCAACAAGCACTATTGCCAGCTGCTCCCAGGTAAGGTTCAACGCTTAATGTTTAACTCATGTTTAAACACATGCAATTGAAACAATTAAATGCCATTTATTTTCATCAGATTTCGTATATATATTGGAATATGTGTACCCTGCTATAGCTGTGAAAATTCGAGGAAGCTTAGAAATCAAAACATCGTACTGGTACAAAAAATCTCAATACCCTAAAAGTATTCATTCCAAAATGTTCCCATTTTAAGGTACCTCAACAGATATCTTTATGTGGTTTTCTGAATATTTCCAGGCCATCATGATAAGGACTTTATTCAGTCCTGATCTCTTTAGCAAAGGGGCTTTGAACAGAATCTCTGGAGTCTGTCTTAGCGGCTTATGTCAGTAAAGTCTGGCTCTGAGATTTGCATGGCGTCAGCCACAAAGGGATCGAGTTAGTTTTGAATTGTTCGTGAAAACCAACAGGTAGCTAGGGCAGCAGCCACAGGTGGACTGAATATTGGCGTACTGATATTGAGCAGGTGAGCAGCAGCATTCTGTTTTTGCAGAAACATTTTTAAAAAGTGTTCAGGGGTAGCCCAAACCCATCTCTGTCAGACCACTTCTTAAAATGTATAACCAAATATCTGGATCGCTAAACAGTAACCATAAGTGAACATATGATCCAGTTTTCTGCCTTAGTACTGGCCCTAGCACAATTGTAACACTGTGTGCTTTCAGCAAGCTAGTTTTCAGCAGCTTGGCACTGTATTTTGTTTAAGTGCAACTGAAACCTACAGAAATACCACATGATCTCTGCCACCAGAATGCAGTGCATGTTGCTAATTTGAATACTCTGTGATGTATCAGGATCCCCCTGCATGTGGAGAGCAAACATATTGAAGATAAGGTTTTAACCTTAGCCTTCTCCATGATGTACTAACTATCCGTGTTCAGGGAATCTTTGGAGTGGGGGTGCCTTCAGATGTGATCTCAGCACTTGTAGTGCAAAACACTCTGGTCTAGCAATTATGCCTAATTTGCCTCCTAGAAGCATATACAGAGTGCTTATGTATCAGGAAGTGCTGGCTTGAAATAACCGTCTGAATTGGTTCCATGTGTGTCTTGAGATATTGCGCCAGAATTCCCTTGTAAGGAACCAGCAAGATCATCTTCTTGCCTCACGTGGTCCTAAACGTGTGAGTTTCTGTTTGTCCTTGAAGTTTTGCTTGCTTTGTCCTAGGATGGCAGAGTGTTTATCTGGATGTGTGACGATGCCTCTGGAAACTCATGGTCACCCAAATTGCTGCATAAGTTCAATGATGTCGTTTGGCATGTTAGCTGGTCGATCACTGCAAATATCCTAGCAGTGTCAGGAGGAGACAACAAAGTGAGTATCCAGGCAGTTTAAATCTTACTTTTTCAGTCAGGTGGCTATTTGTTAAGCTGACAGGTGGAAGAGGCTGTTAATTGATTATCTTGTTCCGAATATTTCGGCTGGAACAAGTTCACTGGTATTCATTGAACAAGACTTCCCTGCTATCAAATTAAGACTACAGTTTCTGAGAATAGACACCTCTCTTCTCACAAAGGTTGAGCTGTTGTCTCTAGTGTGTGTAAAAGTGTATCAGAGACCTGGAAAAGTGTGCAAACCAGCCTGAGAATGTCTACATGAGCTTGCAGGTAGCTTGCAACACTTGTAATTACAAAGCACAGTAATTACCAAAAATACTCTCTATTGGCTAGCATACAAAAATGTGTATTGGTCAAGCCATCTTTAAATTAAGGCATGGTGCAGAAGTGGAGAGGGGCATCTTTCCTGACTAAGCCTGCTAGTAGCAGCTTCTAAGTTTCATGGTTGTGCAGGAACTGTGTCTCAACTTATACTTTCACCATCTCTAGAATAATTGGTCTTCAGCATACAATACATCTTGTCATCTTCTTGACGCAAGCAGCCATTGTAATAGGCTCTGAATGCTTGCCCCAAAGTTTTTGACATCCTATAAATCATTCAGCAAGCAAGACTAGAAACTTATGGTTTTAGGTTAAATAAATGAGGAAAGTCATTTAACACCTGCATGTCTAATAGTGATGAGTAACTCCCATGAAGATTTTAAAAATCTGCCCACCTGGCCGCACAAAACTGAGATAGAGGTTTCTGCAAACCCTGGGGAACCCCAAGGTTTGCAGGAAAATGTATTAGAATTTTTTTTTTAATAAATGGGGGGGGGAACCCCTCCCCAAAATGGACCCAGTGATGGTTGTGCATGACATCATGAAAAAATGAACCTGGAATTCAGGAAGCATGTCGGGTTGCTATAGCAACCAAAGACACCAGCAGGGCAGAGAGAAGTGAAGTTAGTGGAGTGAGGGGAACCAGACAGAACCGGAACTGAGGCAAAAAGGACCGTTGCAAATCTGCCTCGTCAAATGTACTTTAGGATATGAAAGACTGATGTAATCAAATGAAATTAATGGACAGTAAAGTCAGAATGCCACTAATTGAAGGGGAGGAGTGATTTCCACCAATTGCTCCTTCCAATTTGCCCCTTATACCATTCCTGAGGGTTCCCTATTGCCCAGAAACAGCCTTTTGAGAAAATCAGTGGGGCAACAAGAAGGAGACAGAGTGGTTCTTTTGGTTAGCATAAAGTTTAATCTGGATCAAACCCACTGTGTTTACTGAAGTGTAGTTGCTGCTCTAGGAAACCTGGGGCTCTAGTATTCAAAACTGTTATCAAGGAAGGCTTTTCTAGATGAAGATCTCTGTTGCTGTGTACAGTGGATTCCAACAGGAAGGAACCTAGGCAAAACTAAACATTCCCATTCTGTCTTCGTTTCTTCCAGGTAACATTGTGGAAGGAATCTGTAGATGGACAGTGGGCATGCATCAGCGATGTTAACAAGGGCCAAGGAGCAGTATCTGCTATTACAGAGGGACAACAGAATGAACAGTGACAAGCTGGTTAACAACACCCTGGAATTATCCATACAAGAAAATAAACATGATTTTTACTACTTTTCTTATTAAAGCAGTTGAGTAAACCTGGAATAATAATAAAAATGTATGTTATGTTGAACATTCTGTAGCTCTTTTTGGTAAAATTATATGCCTTGGTATTCATCCTTAGCCTTGACATTTTGTAAAATTAAAGGCAAATGGCACCAAAAGCAATGCTTGGTGTATCATTCCTTTGAGTGAGAATATTTTCATTTTAATTCAGTGTCTTTAACTCCTCCAGGTTCAGAGAAGTTAAAATCCTGTGGCTCGATACTTCTTCAGAATGATTTGCTTTTCTTTATACAGTGTCTGACATTTAAAGCCTAGTCACATTTTTCCATTCAGCAAAAAAGGAAACCACTACATTCTAATATTTAATAGAAAATAATGTGAGACTAAGAAGGTGAGATGGAGGCTGTCCATAAAGGAGGCTACCTTTTGTCTTGAGCTTCCTTTTATGTGCATGGTTGAAAATATAAATGCAAAATCAGACCTCCAAAGTTAATAAACTTGTTAAGCCACTGTTGTGTACAGTTCTTGGTTTAAATGAAAATTGCACTGAATCCTTTAAAAGTCTTGGTTGAACAATTTGGAATGAAGGGTGAAGTGTTTATTCTGTAAATTTTCACAGTATATGTGAAGAAAAACAGAAGGCAAAAAAGTTATTGATGCAGTGGGAGATCACGTTTTGGCCTCCTCTCGTTCCGCTGACCGCTGTGGCCCTCTCTTCTAGACCCAGTAAATGTGAGTCACAGGGTAATGGGGGCTTTGCTCAGAACCCCATGACATTCCAAGTGATATCAGCAGAAGTTCCCAGTGTCTCCAACCCAATTTACCCTCATGCTTTGATGCAGTCAGCAGGTCAGCTGGCTCAGTCGAATTAGATTTCCCATTATACTAGGTGCATATTCAGAAATATCATTCTTAGAATAGCTAGGAACTTCATTTTCCAGTATGCACTAGGATCCTCAAGTCTGATGAAACAGGTGACGTATAGGGACAGGAATAAGGTCAGGGGAGAGAGCTGTGGCTTAGTGGGAGAACATGTTCTTGTCATGCAAAAGGTTCTGGGTTCAGTCCCCGGTGTATCCAGTTAAAAAGATGTGGAAGATGTCTGCCTGAGACGCTGGAGAGCTGATGTGTTCAGGCAGGAAACTCTTCCTTTTTCCTGGCCAGCCTCTCACCTTCACGACCATAGCACAATAAAGCATAAGAGTTCTGGGGTTGGGGGGAGGGAGGATAAAGGGAGGAATTTTTTCCCTAATTTGTACTCCATGTTCAGGCTGGGTGTTACAAAGAGCACATGGGTCACAGACTGGCAGCATTACTAGTGGTAAGAACAAGAGCTGCCACAAAGCCAAGGAAGTTGGGGATAAGGTAGTGAAGAGTGTCAGAGTTCCAAAAAAAGACAAGTTGAATAGGTGTCCCATGCTACCCTGATACACTTGTCAGTGATAGGGGCTAAAGATGGGTGGTGGCTATGCCTTAGAATACTTGTCCTCAGAATGGAATGGTTTTTAATTTACCTGAGAGACCCCTTCCAGGTTGGCTTACAGCCTGTTCACCAGTCATAAGCAGGAAGCCAACTCCTCAAAGTGGTGTTTGGCTGCCAGTGAAGGCCCTGGCAAAAAAAAACCCCATGCCTCCCCCAGACCCACCATTGTGGCCTGGGAAGGTATTTGGGCCAGCTGTGGTAGCTGCACCTACCTCCCTGCAAGGTTGTCAGATTCCCCTCTGCTGACACTCCATTTGGGTGTCCTGTACACCTCTTGTCTGGCTGTGCAGGCTCCCCCTTCTACAGCTGTTCGAGGGAAGGTGCGGAGATCTGGCCTATAGGAGGCTGCAACAGCAGAGCACAGGGTGCTTGCCCACTGTGCAGTTTGCAGCATCCCTAGCTTGCATATAACAATTGGATACTGTCCCTACTGAATCACTCACTGTCATGTCTGATGAAGGCTAGTGCCCTCCATCTGTGGTTCCAGTGGACTTGGTTCAACACTGGGGAAGGATGAGAATTCTACATTTGAGAGCTAGTGATCCATAATTTTTTCTGAATATCCTGCCTTTCTACCATTATGGTCACAAAGGTAGCTTGTAACACTCTATAAAATGGTTTTAAAGCAAAAACAACCTGTAAACTTATTTTAAAAAGGTAAGAAAACTACCATCAGGAAATTTAAGCACCCCCTCTGTTACAATGCAGGGTGAACAGGGGCCTGTTGTAGAAATGACAAGGTACTTGGAAGTGCTCAAAATAATGTAAATACCCTATTAGCATATTATTTGTACCTTATATTTTACTTTACTTATATCCTGTCTTTCTATGCAATGGGGACCCAAAGCACCTTACATGGTTCTCCTCTCCTGTTTATTCTCACAACAGCTCTGTGAGGTAGGCTAGGATGAGTGTATGCAACTGGCCTAAGGTCACCCAGCAGGCTTCCATGGCAGAGTGGGGACTGAGACCTACGTAGGAATTGAGTGACGGGCTGCAACTCAGTGACAGAACTTGCATTTCTTGTGCAGAAGGTGGGAGGCTCAATCCCTGGCATCTTGTTAATTGGTTTTAGATCCCAAATATTGGGGGGATGACTATTTTTGTGTGACAGCTCGGAAAGCCCCTGCCATTAAGAGTAAACATTACTGGGTGAGGTGGACCGCTTATCTGAGTGGTATGAAGCAGTATTGTAAGTTCGTATCAGCCTGGTTTGCTTTATATATATCAAACACAAATGATGTCACAAAAGCCTAACATTCTACAGTCAATAAGGATATAAAAACAAGGACTATTATCTCAATCATCAGTACTCCCTGGAACATTTTTAGATTGTTGTTTGCCATACATATGTACCATAGCAAAGGAGGATTCTTTCAGCTAACCAGCCTCCATTTACTCAAGAGAGTTTTATGTCTAACAACACAATCACCACCAGCACAATAGGAAATATTAGGGTCAGGTTTACTCATGACCTTTCAGTCCAGTTTCCATCATAAGCGCAGAATTCTGTCCGCCCAGCCATATGTCTATCCTTTTCAGGTATGATAAGAAGAAAAACAGTTCACACTACAAACAACACAAAATACTTTTATTGTTGGGAAAACACTAAGCAAAAAGGCATATTTTTGCAACTGCTATGGCCATACCTCATTATTAAATCATTCTGGGAAAGTATCTATTAAATGGGGAGGGGGGATTTGAGAAGTTAAAATGGCCTAGGAGCTGAGCAGTCTTCATGCTCTAGTGGGGGCCACTTAGGCCTCACCAGTGGCTCCACTGGCTTTTGTCTGCCAGTAGCTCTCCAGGGCAATGTACTACCAGGATCTTTGGTGGTCAGTTAAGTGGCCAGCTGGGCAGCCGTGTTGGTCTGTAGCAGCAGAACAAAGTCAGGTCTTAAAGTCATTGGGTCTGAAGTAGTGTGCATGCACACAAAATCTCATACCTTGAACAAAACTTTGTTGGTCTTAAAGGTGCCACTGGACTCTGACTTTGTTCAATTAAATGGCCAGTTCACCCCTGTCTAAATCAACACTATCACAGTATGCATTTGCACAGAAATAAACATTATTCAGCCCCACTGATTTAACGAAATGGATATTCGAGAGCAATAATGAACAGGAGTTTGGTTTCTCTTTTGGGCACAGAGAGCTGCTCTATGCAAGCAAAAAGTGGGAACCATCAGTTTTGCTCTTTATGTTAATAATATTGTGCAACAAACTATGTTAGAGTTAATGGTAGCTTCCTGTGGCTCAGAGTTCTGAGCCAATTCCTATTTTATCTGTTTGATATTTCTACGTTACTTTTCTCCCCCAAAGTATGTGAAGTACACCTTACAGAAATGTATAAGATGACCAAACTATATAAATCAACAAGACAAACAAGGCTGGCTAGCATAGGCTTCAGGTTGCAAGCCTAGGGTTGCCAACCTCCAGGTGGGGCCTGGTGATCTGCAGGAACTACAAGTGACCTCAAGACGACATATATCTGTTCTCTTGGAGGAAATGGCATCTTCAGAGGGTGGACTCTGTGATATACCATAGTGTCTAGGAGAAATGGAAATCCTAAAGTGACAACATCCCTGCTGAACTCTATCCCCTCCCCAAACTCCATCCTCTGCCAGAATCCCCCCGCCCGATCTCCAGGAATTTTCCAACCCAGTGTTGGCAACCCTACTGCAAGCCAAGAGCTAAGAACTCTTTTGTTCATTCCTTCTAGCTCATACCACTCTCTGTCCATACCCATGCACAGAGAGGAAAAAACAAAGATAGCTCAGATTATACTCAAGTTACTGCTAGTGGACTCTTCCCTACTACCTCCCCTGATTGGCTTAAGGTGCAAGGGCATACCAAAGGCTAGCAAAATCAAGATGGCTGACAGTCCCTACCTCACCCCCACTAACTCTAGCACAAATCTCTAGTACTTTGTGATTTTCCCTCACAATACCTTTTCTTGTACTTGGGGACATTTTGCCACCCCAAAAGCCCTGCTCCAGTACTGTTCTGGCTGGGTCCAAGGAGCACATAGCATCAATACCTCTGCAGACCAAGTGGACCCAGACAGCAAAATCATGAGTAGATGGGATGTACACCTCCACCTATGCCCCCTCATGGGGTCCAAGGTGGGCTCCCATTTCAGCAGCCCACCTTTGCTTTCAGCTAGCAGCGGCACAGATCTGGGAGGCAATGACAAGCCACACCTGTCCCCTCTGCTGATCAGGGCATCAAATGGCCACTGGGGTAGCCAAGGTGGCCAACCTGCCCAGCTTCCAATTTCTGGGACTGCATCCAATCAGTAAAGGTAATGAGAGAAGAGCAGTCGACACCTGCCTAAAAATGAAGGCCCCTCAGGGCTGATGAAGTAATTATTTGGGCACAAAGGATGCCATCATGAGCAGGCATCAGTGAGAAATTAACTTAAGCTTCCATGTGTAATTTTCCATTCAGAAATATTTGTTATCCTATAATCACCATGCAAGCATTGTTTGAAAAATGCTAGTGAGGCAATTCACCGATTGTTTGTTTTTTTAAAATCTGCATTAGACTTCTAAAGCTAATCCGCCTCACACGCCATTTATATTACATTACTGATTATGTTTCTAAGGAATGCCTAATACCACCAACTGCAAGGAGTTAATATCCACACAAAACAAATATTATCAGCAGCTATATAAAAGCCTTAAACACCACCCTCCACCACTTCATTCAAGAGGTACTAGGTAAGAAACCTTTCTGTTGTTTCCCCATTCCTTGCTTAGCTTTACTTTTTTCACTCAAAGGAAGAAATAATATTTTCTGCCAGGACCCCAGATGGACATAAGCACTATTATTATTATTAAATGAATATAATGAAAGAAACTTCCTTTTGGCAGTTTTATCTGACAGATGAACAGGATATAGTTTATCTTTGACTTTAGAACAAATCGTTGAGTATTTAATACTACTTCCAACCTCTGCCAGTTATTGTCATTTTTCATTTCTGTTAACATGCACAGGTTGATTATAGTCTATAGTGGAAGCGCCTTTCAAGACAATCATGTTTCTCAGAACCACAGTGCTTGTGATGCTTCTTGTCTTCTTGCTCTGGCCAGAGACCACTGTAGCTGGCTCCAGTTTTTTAAGCCCTGAACAACCTAAGGCACAGGTAAATAGTGCTGGTACCACCATTACTGCATGATATAACTTTATTTAGGGAAAGGACTATTTGAATGCTGGTCTGTAACATTACGTCTGATTTCCTTCCAGCAACGAAAGCCTCCCCCAAAGCCTGCAACAAAACTCCACCGCCGAGATGCGGGAGCAGTTTTGGACGTGCACAGGACTGAAGGAGACACTGATGAAATACAAATAAAGGTTTTTCCCCCCATGCAATCCCTTAAGATCATAAAGATCTTTCGTACCATGGTGTTGTGTGTAATAAACTTGAACCAAAGTTAACTTATACAGCTAGATTTACATTTAATTAAATACAGCTACCGTGTCTTCCCCAACTTTTGAAGCACTATGAGAGCAGACACAAACATTTGTTCTGAACCAATAGATTCTTTATATAAAAAGACTCCTAGAAATAAAATAGGAACACTGTTTATTGTTAATCTATTTCTGGATGTAAGTTTCAACTGTAATAATCTTTTTCTTCAATAATCTACCACTTTAAAGCATAATTTATTTTCTTCTTCCTGCGGAATTTTGTTCAGATGGAACTTCTCTCTTCTCCCTCCCACTCACAATTCTTAATATTTAAGAAATGCACATTATGATGTCCAAATAGCACTGACCCTTAAAAAAATAGAAACAACCAACTAAATGTGAAAATAGCGCGAGGAAATGGAACAGAACCTCTTTGTCTCTCCTCATTCCACTGTGACTGAAAATGCATTAAAGTCTCAGAAGAACAGTATGGCAAATATGGGCAAATACTGGAACAGTTTCTGGAGGACATACTTACTGAGGACACTAAAGGTAATATTTTGTAATATAATGTACTGGTTTTTATGCACTATCATGTTAATTGTTATAGTTATTATTGTAAAGTTATATTTTAACTATTTTATTATGATGTAACCCACCCTGAGCCCTGCAGTGCAGGGAAGAGTGGGACAGAAATCGAAAGTTAGAAATAAGTAAATAAATAAACTTTTATTAGTCTAGGCTAAGAGGTCTAAGAACTTACCTGAATCACAGGCACTTGAAGCAAAATTTCCAATTGTACCTTCTGCATGTCCACCTTAATGTATTTTGGAAGTGAGGCCCTTAATAGATCTCTTTCAGTGTTTATTGTTTGGTATTTATACTCTGCTTGATTTGGGTATTTTTGATGTAGTATTAAAATTTTAAAAAAAAGAAAAGAAAAAAAAATAGATCTTTCAGGCAGGGGAATGCTTCCAGCAACAAAAAACCCAGCTGAAGTAACATATGAACATTATTCAAGACAAATTTACTTTTATGTTGCCTTTAGTGTAGGCAGGCTCCTATAAAGACACTTAGCTACCGTAATTTCTAGCCCTGAAAGAGAAATTGAATAATTCCAGGCATGCTTATATTCCCATGTAAATCCAACCAAACTCAGGAAAACTTGCTTCTAAGTAAACCTGCATGGCATCTGACTACACTGTAGAATCCATTATAGAAAGTAAGCACTTCGTGACATCAGTGTGTTGGATCCTTCACAACGACCTTGCAGATCAGGCTCTCCAGTCCTGCCAAGTCCAGCCCTGGGAAAGTTTATTTTGGGGAATACTCCAAGGACCCACATGAAGTAATAGCCACACAAGCTGGGGCTGCAATAGGGAGGGACATTATTTCTATCCCCATTGCAGCCTCCCAACCCAGAGGCAGAAATGGCTGGTGGAGAGAAAGGAGAGCCAGTTAAGACCGATGATCATCCATGATTTCTGCTGATGGACAGATCCAACTCAGTGCTTCCAGCAATTGTTTATGATAGGGCTGTAAACCTGAAAATATGAGGACTGAATGCAAACATTAAGCTCATTCTTTCTCCTATTAATATGCTTCCCAAAACTGCCTATGTCTTAAAACATCTGGGAATCTGTCGGGATAAGTTATAGAAACTTTTAAAAGGAAAATTAAGAACCAATTTCAGGTCTAAATTCTGTACTGACAGAACTTATCTAGCCTCTTTGATGCTACAGTTCCTATAGTTAGGCACCACATCTATATAACTGAAAATAAAGATAGCTTCTACTTTGTTCTCTGTATTACAGTATTTGTGCTTTTAACAAGCAAAACTATTCAAAATGTTTACAGAAACAGCACACTAACTTCCTTGGATATATGAATATGAAACAAAAACTAACTACTTTCCTCTTGACCTTTTCAGAAAGCCAAGAAAAAAAGTGAAAATCAAGATGCCCCACCCCAACTTAAATTTTCACAAGCCAAATTAAACTGCTTCAGATCTTGCAGTGTAACCTAATAAATGCCCCAATTTCAGAATGCAAGAAATGTATTGTTAACTTATTAAAATATGTTGTGCATTATATTCATAATACTTTTTTTAAAGGGGAAGGGGGAATGGTCATCTGGCCAAAAAGATCTTGGAGCCTGGAAGTTTTTAAAAAAATCATTTTTGCTGAATGCTCTAGTTTCACAAGAAAAAGACTGCAGATTTTGTGCTAGCTTAGCACTGCATGTTAGAGAGTATGTGAAAACTAGATGCAAGCGAAGTTTATAATGAAGTAGTGAGGTGTGAATGTGTGCACACATTCCTTTTAAAAGCAAAAAACATGTGGATGCTGAGGAAGACAACTACTGTAATACAACAAATAGGTACTACATAAGCAGAGGGAGCTTTTCACTTTTCGCTATAGACAGGATCACGGGCAATAGAACAGAAAAAAATTGTTATTTAGAAAGACAAGATAACACCCACTTCTGCTATTGGAGAGCTAAGCTTATTAGCATGAAATGTCTTGGCTTTTTCTTGAGTTTCTCTAAGAGTACAAAACTGACAACTGGCTCTATCTAAACATATGGAGCATGGTTTTATTGTCATTCCTGCATATACACAAAGAAAAAAGTTTCCTGAAATGCTATTTCCATTTCCACAAACACTGGAAAATACTTTTAACAATGGGAATAAAGGTACTTACAGGAAGAACTTTTGCATATAACATGGAATTCCTGGACTGAAGGCAACAGAAAGATGGAGAACCACCACTTGTTTTCAATGTTAATGACTACAAGGTTTTAATTAGTTGCCTCACTGACAGGAGTCAATTATATAAACAAAGTGTACAATTATTTATATAAAAATACATTTACAAATAAACTCTTTAAAGGCCAAATAATATTTAAAATCAATTATATAAAATGGAATAATTTCCCCTTATCAAATAAGTCAATTGAAGAGGCTAAAACTAATAAAAAGAAACTAAAATTTTAGCCATTGTTTTACATGAAAATCTTGAGATTTCTATTTTCACTTATTTTTCCATGCATCTGGCTTTCCCCGTCACAGTGTCTTCCACCATTAGCTCATTAAACAGTATGCACAGTCTCAGTTCTCTTTAAAAAGTAATTTTTGCCACACGGTGTTCAACCAGTGCTTGAGAAGATCATTGTGCTTACACAGATGTAAAGAATTTCAGCTATCATACACAGGAAATGCACTTCATTACTCCATTAAGGATACTGCTACACACACACACTAGCAGGTGAAAAAGTGTTTTAACTATGGTGAACGACAAAGGAGGCACGCTATGGCAATGACCTGGTGGTCTGTTCTAAGAGCAACACTCCAATATGGCCTTTATGATTTGAAAGCACCATTCCTTTTGTGAAGAGGCTAAGCCGCTACTCTCTACATCAACTACACCTAGGCCTGTCCTATGCAATTGGAAGTTGACCTTATAAAACGTTCTGTCATAAAATTGAAACAAAAATTAAAAAGCCAATACTGTGTTCTTTGCTGCCTCCAAGGATGGGTAAATTAAAAGGAAAGTCACTTCTGACTAAAATCAACAATAAGGCACCTTAAGACAACAAACGAGATCAATGTGTGACCTTTTTCTTCTAAGCGCTTGATACCTTACTCCTGTCAGACATCTCAGTAGACCCAGGCTTATCCACAGCACTGTGAACCCCAACTATCCATCTGCATTACAGAATAATCACTTTAAGAGGCTGTTACTTCAAACCGGCATTTATGCAGCACCTCTCTTCTAGGCGTTCTTGCACTTTCTTACAAGTCATATATTTTTTTGGTGTTTCGTCTTAGAGCAGCCAACATAATGGATAATGGCACTTCCTTGAGGCGGGCAAGTTCTCTCACTGTGTGCAGAGCAACTCCTGGGTGTGAATACTGACACACACTTTTCGGAACCTAAAGAAAACCAGAAGCCTTAGAAGTAATATCAGTTACTTTATTCTGTACAATTCAGAATTAGAACTACGGTTGAGAATTAACATAACAAAAACTTCCCTCACCTTGCACTACATACATTGTGGGCAATTTTAACAGACACACTGAAGACAATACAAATGAAACAAAGAGCAACTGCTAACTGATTAACCGATCCAGGTGGGTAGCTGTGTTGGTCTGAAGCAGCAGAACCAAGTTTGAGCCCAGTGGCGCCTTTAACAGAACAAAGTTTTATTCTGGGTATAGGTTTTCATGTGCATGGCACACTTCTTCAGATACACAAAAGCTTATACCCAGAATAAAACGTTGTTGGTCTTGAAGGTACCACTGGACTTGAACTCTGATTTATTGATCCTCTTTGATTTACTCACAGCTTCTGACGTTCAGAAAATCAAGAATAACTTGATGGTTATTTCATCATCTCTTGATTAGTGAAGCAAATGCATTAATAAACAAGATTTTTTTTTCACCCTCTATGAGAAAAGGGGCGAGGGGAGAATTTGCCAGGGTAGGTTAATTTGCCCTTTTCCTTACAAGGAAATCTTTTTAAAAGCAGCTAGGATGTATTATCTCTCATTTCCCCAACATCTTCTTTATATCAAGAGACTAGTAAGCAACTGGTAACTATTGGCCTAAATTCATTATATTACACTTACCTGAAGCCTTTAGCTTTCCCCATTTCTCATTCAACCGAAAGGGTTTCATGCTCTAATCAAGGTTACACGGCCACTATAGTCCCACTTCCCAGTGCCAAGAAGCATCCCCCATTATTGTTACCAAACTGTTTCCCCTGTTGTTCTCACTTTACTGCTATACCTGTACCACTCCAAAAATGTTATTTTCGACACTTCTCTAGAACACCTGTTACACACAAAGACCTGAGTGCAACCTGCCGAGAGTAAATGGCACAACACTGCCACTGTGCAGAGTATAGCTGTATTATTAGTTTTAAAGTATTCTCCATGAATTTATGTAACCTTTTCAGACTCATTAAACCAGATGCTCAGAACACCCCATGACAATGAAACTCAAATAAGTAGAAGTGTATAAGAGAAGTCAGTTGTGTGACCGTTGCATTTTTATATTTGCTAGTATTATACAACCCATTCCATCCCAAAACCTTCAAAGACTTAAAGAGGTAACTTTCACAAGAAAAGGAAAGGACTTCTATTTGGGCAGGATAAAACAAACATAATAAAGCGAGAACTAAAAAGAAGTGGGGGTACACCCCAAGAACTATCTTACCTGCCTGGGAAGGAAATAAGGTGCATCTGTTTCTACTACTATTCTGCTTAAAGGAATTTTTTCAACAGCTTCTCTAGCCTCATTTGCTGATGGATAAGTCAGCAATGCAGTGAATCCTACAGTCAGGTTTGGGAAGTAGTCCAGCAATGGTTCTATTACATTGTATCTACCAGTAAAGCAATGCCTGAGGGAGAAGAGAAAGTGATGGTTATTCTGCAGTATAATAAGACCAGTGAGCAGCAGAAAAGCAATAATGCAGGCTGTGCTAAAGGCAATACTGCAAGGTAGAAGTAAATACATAGCTGTCCTATGTTTTTTTTCCCCCCTGTAAACTTATACCCAGTATAAAACTGAGACTGGCTAAAAGGAGATGAGGAAATGCAAACTATATTTCAACTCTTTACATACGGAATTTAAAAATCGGGCTTCGATGACACTGAGATTTTCCAAGCATTCATACTATATATTAACTTTCAGTTATTGCTGATTTTTACAGTAAAATTACAGTAATTAGAATTACAGTAAAAAATTAAGTAGGTGGTTTAATTAAAACTGGTTGTTTTTAGGGAATCAATTCAATGTCATTCAGTATCAATAAATATTACTGGATTCTTCAATCCTTCTCTGAAATATTATTACTTCCTTTTACACCAGTTTGGTGTAGTGGTTAAGTGTGTGGACTCTAATCTGGGAGAACCGGGTTTGAGTCCCCACTCCTCCACTTGCACCTGCTGCTGTGACCTTGGGTCAGTCACAAGCTCTGGCACAGCTGTCCTTGAAAAAGAACAGTTTGTGTCAGAGTTCTCTCAGCCCCACCCACCTCACAGGGTGTCTGTTGTGGGGAGGGGAAGGGAAAGGACTTTGTAAGCCGCTCTGAGACTCCAAGTGAAGGGCGGGGTATAAATCCAATCTCTTCTCTTCTTCTTCTTCTTATCTTGCACCTAGTCCAAAAGTTCATTACTAATCTTAAACTAGCAAAACGTTCTCAGAATATGAGAGAAAAATTAAGCCTCAGAGAAAACTAATAGCACCGTACCTGATCAACCTTTGCTGTTTCATGCTATCTATCCATTGCTAGGGCACATAGACATGATTCTGAAGCAAAACAAAAGCTCCTCTAAGCTCAAGAACCAGGAGGCAAGTGACCTTCTTTAAAGGCCTAAAAACTCTTAAGTGATTAATGTTCCCTCTGTATCTGCTTACATTTACTGCCAAGCAGGGCCCCCAGAGTTCTGCTGGGTTCATTTCCTCATTCCAGAGGTCAACCAGGGCATCAACAAGGGCACCAACCATATCAACAGGGAAATCCTGTAGAGCCATCAGAAAGCTGTTGGGATCCATCTGGCTCCAGGGGCAGATCATTTTAATAGATCCCCCCACCCTTGTAGAGTCTTGGTATCCATGCAAGTCTAAACACAAGCAATGATGCAATCACAGTCACAAAGCCATGACAGAGGCACAAAACTTAGCATTTAGTATACTAACCTGTGTATTTTGTAGTCTTTCGGTACACATTTTTTCATGATCTTCAGCAGATCATCATCAGCATCTCTGCAATGAATTACCAATGGCTTCCTTAAGGATACAGCTAGATTCAGCTGCCTTTCAAATACCTGAATTAAGAAAGCATGTCTTTAGATGCCATTAGAGCTGCCCTGAGAACAGAGGGGTGACGTGTGTTTCAGTCATTCTAGCACCAAGTTCAGCGATTACCACTTACACCACTGCTATACACAGTCCATTCTCAAAAAGATCTCTAGCAGCACAAATTGCATTTATTTCAAAAACAGTTGCACTGAAGAAGTAAACTGACTGAGCTGCCCGGTCTGCACCGTACATGGGAGAGGCAGAACAAGTGTTCCACTCTCAGCACATTTGCTTTATACCCAACACTAGGATGCTGCACAAGAAAATTTAGCTTCCAACCTTTGACACTTCTGGACTGCTTGACTGGGGGGTGGGGGTGGGCAGAAATCACAGGCCAAAATAGCAGATGGATTCCAGAAAATGGTGGTAGGGGACTTGAGCTATGGTATTCCACATGGTTCTGCACTGTCCCCCAATGATATCAGCACCTACATGAAACTGCTAGGTAAAGTGATAGTCTGGCGATTTGTTTACTGCATTTATCTCCTACTTTTCTTATGTCATGGAATTCAAAACAGCTCGCACAGAATTCCCAGAAGGCATTACCTGGACTCATATTTACATAGCACCTCTAAGACTGCTGTTATCATGGGTCCTTCTCATCCATACTCTGGGACTAAAATGGAGAGTCAGAACCAATGTTCCCTCTAAGCGCCGAAGTGTTATGAGCAGAAATTCTACCTCGTGAGCGAAAAAAGCTAGTAGCATCAAAGGTTGTGAGCAAGTCTACATTCGACTATCGTGTAAATAAGTTTATTAGGCGATTACTTCCATAACCTTGAAAAAAATCTCAGAATAAATTCTTTTATATTTAAATTATATTTTAACAATAATTTAAACATGAGAGAAAACAGAATCAAGTCAAATTTCACCCACTCCGCACCCCTTTCCACTATATTGGTAGCCATTGGCTTGGACTGTTGCCTTGTGCTGTCCCTTAGAAAATATACCAGCACTTAGGGGAGAGGGGGACTCTTGCAGTCTACTTTGTTGGGTTTTTTAGTGAAATATGACAACCAGCATTACAGGTCAAGTATAACAGAGGAGGAACAATCACAGTCAGAACCCTGTTTAACCTAACAAACAGGAAGTTACTTAAATGTTATCAGCCTGCCCAAACTACTTATTTTTTCAAATATTTATATCCTACTTTTTTCTGTGACTCAAGGCAGCTTACAAATTATACTAAAAAGCACAATAGGGGTGCATACACACACAAAAATGTTTTCCGGCTCCATTGTAGTATATGGAAACCATTATAATCAATGGGCCCCATAGGCTATAGTGGAGAAGAAGAAGAGGAGAGATTGGATTTATACCCCGCCCTTCACTTGGAGTCTCAGAGCGTCTTACAAACTCCTTTCCCTTCCCCTCCCCACAACAGACACCCTGTGAGGTGGGTGGGGCTGAGAGAACTCTGACACAAACTGTTCTTTTTCAAGGACAGCTGTGCCAGAGCTTGTGACTGACCCAAGGTCACATCAGCAGGTGCAAGTGGAGGAGTGGGGACTCAAACCCGGTTCTCCCAGATTAGAGTCCACACACTTAACCACTACACCAAACTGGTTCTTATCGATCTGGGGCTGTTTTTTGGGGTAAAGGTACCAAATTTATAGCATAGCTGCTGGTGCCTTTTCTTAACCCCCCCCCCAGTTTAAAAAAGACTGGACTGGGGGTCCAATTCTATGATCCTCAAAAGGAGATGCTCCTGTCTTCCATTGTTTCCAATGGAGGGAAAAAATGCCCTGTGAGCTGAAACAGAAATCCCTGCACTGCCTGTTAAAATTTTGTGTGTCAGCACCCTCTAGCACAGCTTAGAGGGAACTATGAGAACATTGGCGACACTCAGCTGTACTTACGTTTTATAAGTGAATCAGGACTTGCAGTAGAAGTGTTAAACAGACATCTAGAATTTATAATGGACTAGGTAAAGGTAAAGGTTCTCTTGCTCGAAAGCCAGTCGAGTCCAACTCTAGAGTTGCTGTGCTCATCTCCGTTTCAAAGCCAAAGAGCCAGTGCAGTTCAAAGACATTTCCGTGGTCATGTGGCCGGCATGACTAAACACCAAGGCGCACGGAACGCTGTTACCTTCCCACCGAAGTGGTACCTATTTATCTACTTGCAATTTCTTGCTTTCAAACTGCTAGGTTGGCAGGAGCTGGAACTAGAGACAGGAGCTCACTCTGTCATGCGGCAACTCAGGACGAACTGCTGAACTACTGACCTTCCACAGCCTGCAGTTCAGCGTCTTAACCACTTGAGCCACCGCTCAATGGTTATAATGGACTAGAGGACAGCTAATTGTGAAGACCAATGAAATCAGGCTGAGGTATTGTTAACAAGTAGTTTTCAGTTGGAACAGAGGTAATGCCCAAGACAGTATCATATGGATATAAAACAAAATTTTATAACCACCCAAAAGTTATTTAGCAACCCATCCATTTTTCCTGTACATTGATCACTAGTTTGACAAAGTATTTTCCAAAATAAAATTTAATAATCCTAACTGGCTAACTATGTGACTGCTCCATAACTAATTTTTTTTACAAAGCTACAGCATCTCTTCCACAATAAAAGAAAGTTTCACATTCAAGAGAGAAAACAGCCTCAAAAGAACTAGAAGCCTTTTACCTTGTGTTGAGTTGGAACTTCAGTACTACATTTATAAGAGTAATCCAGTCCCATTTCTCCAAAGGCAATAGCTTTGGGGTGCCTCATTGCCTGCAAGAGATTTCGTTCATGAAGATCTGAGTAATAGCGTGCAAAGTGTGGATGACAGCCAAATGCCCCCCAAACCTTGTCTTCCTTTAATAAATCTTCCCATAAGGAGTCATTCAAGGTACGAGGATTACAAAAGTCAGCTATACAGCCTTCAAATTCTTCAGGAAAGGTGGTATCATAAACCATTCTAAATTTAGAAAAGGTGCCCCTAAAAGCCATTTTTGAATACAACATGTCCAGATGGCAGTGGGTGTCAATAAATCCTTCTTCTAAATACCTGGGCAGGTCATCAGGCAAACTGTGCCCTGCAGGGTTAGTAACAGATGAATCCAATTTGCTTGGTGTGGAGAAAATAGGAATGTATGGTCCTGCTTCCATACTTCGCCGTCTATGTTTCTTCTCACAGAACAGTGAAGAACCAAGTGAACGTGGCCTACGACGCACTTCTTCCAATGACGATTCTTCATCCTTTGAGGTATTCGATGAAATAGCAACGGAGGTATCTAAAGAAATGTCACAGAGCTGACTAGAATACGAACTATCAAATGGAGTATCTTCACAGGGGCTTGAAAAAGGACTACAATGTTCTGGCTTGGGGGTCTTTGTCCAATATTTTGCATAGTCTTTCATCTTATGACCATACAGGTGAGGAGGATACATCACGACCTCTGTGGTCAATGCTGGAGTGTCTTTTGTTCCAGAAGCATTGTGACCCGGGATAGAATCCTCTTGAGAGATGGTAGTCAATGGTTCTGCATCCTCCGTATCAGACCAGTCACTTCCCGCTAAAGGCTCTTTTTCTTGCTCTGTACGCTGCACAGCAACAAGATACAAGAAGCAGGACATAAACAGTTTGAGATGAGACTTAGTTCAACTTGCTTTTCTAACACCTGATTACAGGTTTTGGGGGCTTTTTAAAAGTCATTTTATTAGCATGTGTAGACTTCAGAGAATTGATGTCTATGACACTTCTATCCTGTCCTTCCTCCAAGCTGCTCAGGGAGGCACATGTGGCTCTCTCCTTAGGAGAATTTATGTGAGAACAGATGGACAGAACGGAGGGGAAGAGGTGGCGGCATGCTTTGTGGAAAAACACTGTATTTAAATTCCATACGTATTTAGAAAATGTATATACTGCCCCTTCAAAGACCTACATGAGACAACTCACAAATTAAAAGATAAAATTCAAATTAACAATTAAAAACTCAGAGCACAGCCTGCTCTGGCGGGGAATAAATTGAATGAATGAATGAATAAATAAATAAATAAATGTTTAGCAGCCTAAATGATCCTTATAACAATCCTCAGACTAGAAACAGATTTCAAGAACAATTTTAAGAACTCAACCCCCTTAGTTAAAAGCCTAGGTAAAAAGAAATGTTTTGTCCTGGTGCCTAACACTGCAATCTTAAGCATCCTTCTAAGGACATTAGGGGATTATTCCCTTTACAGTGCACTCTTATGCCAATCAAGCATTGAGAAGGAGGACATTCACAGACAGGTTTTCTCCACTGAAAAAAGCCCCATCTCTGCTGGTGGGAGCACAGACAGCAGGTCTTGTGAGAAGTAGCTTAGCTAGCAGGCTGGATGGTACAGAAGGGGGTAGTCCTTCTGTATAAATACACATTGATGGGGTCTGAACAGGCAGAGACTGAACAAGAGAGAGATCTTGAAGTTGTAGTAGATAACTCACTGAAAATGTCGAGACAGTGTGTGACTGCAATAAAAAAGGCCAATGCTATTGGTGGGATTATTAGGAAGGGTATTGAAAACAGATCAGCCAATATCATAATACCCCTACATAAATCAATGGTGCGACCTCATTTGGAATACTGTGTGCAGTTCTCGTCACCACACCTTATAAAGGATATTATAGCTTTGGAAAGTGCAACTCGAATGATAAAAGGGTTGGAACACTTTCCCTATGAGGAAAGGTTAAAGCGCTTGGGGCTCTTTAGCTTGGAGAGACAACGACTGAGGGGAACATGATTGAGGTTTATAAGATTATGCATGGGATAGAGCAGGTAGGGAAAGTGGTACTTTTTCCCCTTTCTCACAATACAAGAACTCATGGGCACTCCATGAAATTGCTGAGCGGTCGGGTTAGAACGGATAAAAGGAAGTACTTCTTCACCCAAAGAGTGATTAACACATGGAATTCACTGTCACAGGAGGTGGTGGTGGATACAAGGATGGACGGCTTCAAGAGGAAATTAGATAAGCATATGGAGCAGAGGTCCATCAGTGGCTATTAGCCTCAAGGTATAGATAGGGGCTCTGGGGCAAGTGATGCTCTGTCTTCTTGGTGCTGGGGGGGGGGGGTCAACAGTGGGAGGGCTTCTAATGTCCTGGCTCCACTGGTGGACCTCATGATGGCACCTGGTATTTTTGGCCACTGTGTGACAGAGTGTTGGACTGGCTGGGCATTTGGCCTGATCCAACATTGGCGTCTCTTATGTTCTTCTTATGTTCTTAGTCCTCCTTGAATGAAAATTAATGAGGTAAAGTAGTACACTGTTTGATATAGTCAAACATATTTTACATGTATTGCAAAGAAACATAATTCTGTTCCAGAAGGACAGAAATAATGAAGTATCTTTGTTTTTTGTGCTTTACCTTGACTGCACAGCAACAGTGCTGATCTAACACTGTACTCAGAAAAGCATTACAAAGATCTCCAGTTAACTTCCAAGGCCAAGCTCTCAGAATTGCTACCAGTTCCACATGGATGGTGGACATTAGGGGACTCGATGTGCAGATAGGAAAGTGGAGATGCGAGGAATTTAGATTTCTTAGGCACAGGGTAACTTTCGGGGATGAGCCAAAATCTGTGAAACAGAGACAGGCTTTGCTTGACCTGAAAGGGAACCCGGCTGCTAGGGCTTAGAATCAAAAAGGTAGCAGAACAGCAGACAAGAGCTGGAAAACCTCCAGGAGTTACTGGGAAAGACTGCTAGGAAAAGTTGAAGGCAGCAGGAAAAAAGGAAGGCCCAACATGAGATGGATTGATGCAATAAAAGAAGCCACAGCCCTCAGTTTGCAAGACCTGAGCACGGCTGTTAAACAATAGGTGGCCATTAATTTTGGAGGCCATAAATCAATAGGGGTGACTAAGTCAAAATTGACTTGACAGCACTACACACACACACACACACCATAACTCAATGCCTCACCTTTTGGTCTACTTCTGAATCGTGCTCATCCACAAATACAAGTTTTGAAGAAGGTTCAACAAGAACTGTCCTCTGGAAATTCTCAAACTTAATTTTTGTTTCACTGTGTATGTCAACTGAGCTGGGGGCAGTGCACTGTTCTTTTGTCACATTTTTCTGCTTTGTGGAAGCACCAGATTCTTTTGCAGCAGTCTTCTGATTGCTGCTCCCAGACTTGAACACTTCTTCGCCTTCATGTCTTGCGCCTTCAGAGACACGCCTTGAGTTGTTTTCAGGTGTCCAAGATTCTTTTTTACTCAGTCTGGCGCAATCAGTTTCTCCAGCAATTTTACTTTGCTGTTTGTGTGATACTTTTTGCTCCCCTTCAAGTCTTGAGAAGTTAGCCACATCTTCAGAACTGCTGTTGAATCTACGAAGTTTTTTTTTATTTTGCCCAACAGAGGTATTAATGTCCTCTCTTGCTGGACTACTCTGGTTTTTCAGTTCTCGTGTAAGCTCTGGTTCATCTTCAAGTCTCAATGTTCCAGGGGCATGCCTTGAGCTGCGTCCTGGTCTGGCATCCTCTTTTCCACTGCGGTTAGAACTGTCATTTTCTTCTTTTGCACTAGCTTTCTGAAAACTGGATTCTGGTTTAAATTCCGCTTCTCTTTCTGATCTTGAAACTACAGATACACGTCTTGAGCTACCATCTGACCCATGAGAGTCTTTTTTATCCTGCTGGACACAGATATTAATTTGTTCTTTTTGTGTACTTTTGCTACAGCTGGGATCTTCTCCCCCTGCAGACAGACGTCTCAAGTTGTCCCCTGGTCCAGAAGCTTCTTTTCTGCGATGAAGGCTGTTCACGTGAATTCCATTTGGAGATGCTGCATCTCGTTTGGCTGACAATGCTTTCCCTAATGCACCTAGCAGAGCTTTTTGGTAAATTAATGCAGCTCCCCGGTTCTCTGTTTTCTTACGGCCATATTCAGGCCCTGCATCCTTTGATACATCTTTGCTCTCAGTGCTGCGTGCAAGGTTTCGGCCTGCATCACTGCAAGCATCTTGTTTAACCTAAACAGAAAACAATAATGTAAGCATATACACAAACAGGATCTCCGTGTGGTTGGCTAAGCAGCTAACAATCCCTTCCATGCACCGATTAAACAAAAGAGCAGTTAGTAACTTAGTCTGCAGACTTCTACAGTAAGCTACAACATAATGGGATCTTTTGGCATTAAAGAAGCATTATGTGATTTTTCTAGTAAGCTGATATGGCAATGCACATGGACACATTTAGTCCTCAGATATAATATTTAATTGGCCATTAGTATACTGAGTTAAAGGTTCCTATTCCTCCAAAGTAGTCCTAAGAGAAGTGCCTGCCTTTTCAAATCTAACAGGCATTCTTCCCAGAAACAAAACCTACTGAAAGTTCATATAATTACCAAGAACAAAATGTAGAAGGTACCAGTCACACTAGATGAACAGATATAGATTAATAAATTCTATAGCATTTTAGCTGTTCTCCAAAAAGGGCAAAGCTTCCCTAGTACTTACAACTTCTTGTCATTTTTAAAAGGTTTCTGAGCTAGCTACCACACTTACATTGTTTTATTTATTTTATACCCCACCCTATCCCACAAGTAGGCTCAGGATGGCTTACAACCTAAAACCCATAAAGAAGAGAAACAATAAAACCATAAAACAATAGATGGCACAATAGACAGTAACAAAACCCCATGCCTCATGTCAGGCAGAAATGGTCAGTTATTGTCACTTCTATACCTCATGTTTCAAGGATTCCTGAGAGGAAACCACACTTCTCTTGGACATTTCAGAAACAGAACGGTTTACAAGATGCACTCCTCTGGAAGAGGAACAACTCTGGGTCTCCTTAACCACGTTGTCAATTTCATCATCCGTTTCAAAGTCATCAGAGGAAGAATCTTCTGCTGCAAATGAAGTTCTTGAGAACTCTTTATAAGAAGATTCTGGAGAGTGCAAGATCGGAGTCTTTCTTAACACAGCTCTCTCGTTGGCCAAGCTGCTGTTAGGGGAAGGATGAGGGAGTCCTTTGGTGGACTTGAAATATTTGGTGGGTGAGCCAACAGATGAGCTGTCCCATTCTATTTTGCGCCTCCTGTTTGGCTGCATTGATGCTGGCTTATCTGGATAGTAAGGGAAACAATTAGAATTTTAGCATATTTCCATAATGAATTCACACCCCACTCCAAATACACTCTCTCCAATGGGGATCCAAAGTGGCTTACCTCATTCTCCTCTCTTCCATTTGATCTTTATAACAACCTGGTAAAATAGGTTAGGCTAAGAGTGTGTGGCTAATCCAAGGTCAACCTGCCAGCTTCCAAAGCAGCGTGGGTTCAAACCTGGGTCTCCCAAGCCCTAGTCCAGCACTCTTAACCACTACAGCTCACAGGCCCTTTCACTGAAAACACCATGCAAGAAAAATTAAGAAAATGGATAGCCAACTCTAACCTTTACACATAAATCTATCGGACAAAAATGGGAACAGCAAGCAGATTCCTATACAAGAACAAAAGTACAATACCTGCTCATCCCATATCACAGACAATCTCCACATTCACAGGCAGCAAGCCTCTGAATATCAGTGCCAAGAGGCAAGATCAGGGGAAGGCCTCCGTCTCTATACTTTGTAGTTTGTCCTCCAGAGCAACTGGTCGGCCGCTGTCATGTAGGGTTGCTAACTCCCATTTGAGAAAAACCTGGAGATTTGGGAGTGGAGCCTGGGGAGGGACCTCAGCAGGGTCTAATGCCATAGAGTTCATCCTTCAAAGCAGCAATTTTCTCCACGGGAACTAATCTACATCACCTGGAGATCAAATGCAACTTTGAGAGATCTCCAGTCCCCGCCTCCCTGGAGGCTGGCAAATCTATATGTGAGACAGGATGCTGGACTAGACGGACCACTGGTCTGGTCCAGAAGGGCTCTTCTTGCCTTCTTATGTCCACATACACCTGTCTGAAACCTTACACTTTAACACTCCCCATCCAGTTCGCAAGAATTCCCAGGACACACATAAGGAGAAAGGAAGAGGCCGGAGTTCTTCCTAGCCTGCTTTGGACGCGGAAGAGGAGCAGGGACCGGAGAAGAAGGCGAAGGCCCCGGAAAGCTAGAAGCCGCCTAGCGTCTGGAAAGGGAAAGAAGGCGGGAAACGGAGGAGGAGGAAGAGGGAGTTCCCATAAGGACCCCAAGACGGCCTCCTTCGAAACCCAGCCCTAGCCGCCATTGGCTGAGTTCTGGGGCCTTCTCCTCAGGCTTTAGCCCCGCCCCCAAACCCCGGGGACCAGCTACCCTCGGGTACTTTTTAAGTCCTCGGCGACGACGGGGGTTAGCAACGCGCTCTCTCCCCTGCCCGCCTACCACAGATACTCACTGGCGCGCGGTGGCGCGCTCTCCCGCCGTCCTTATTCTTCTGCAAAGCTCGTAGCAACACCGACGCGCAGGGAAAGAGAAATTGGGGTGTGTGTGTGGGGGGGGGTGGACAGTGGGGTTAGAGGGACTGACGCGAGGCCGGCGCTACGATTGGTTGTCCGTGGCTCGCCGGGGTGAGGCCGAGCTGACGCCCACCACGTGATTGAAGCGAAAGGCAAAAGCCGGAAGTGGAATGGTGGGATTCGAGGGGCTGGCCTTCGGTCCCGCGTTTGTGATGCGGGCTGCTTGCTGATTCGAGAAAGGGAGGCAAGGGGGTGGGTCGGTGGGCTGAGCCCGAGCAGGAGCCATGACTCTCGCGCATCCTTTCCTGTTTACTTCTCTCGCATAACCGTGTGCAAGCTTAAGGGGTCCGACCGCGGACTTTTTCAAGCGGCGCAGCTGGGTGACGGTCTAGACAAGAAACATTATACGTAGTTGTGAGTGACCCAAGCGGCCAGTAAACGTTGCCAATGTGGTCTTAGGCAAGTTATTCTCTCTCAGTTATAGAAAAAAAGCAAGACTCCAGTAGCACCTTAAAGACTAACAAAATGTGTGGCAGGGTAGGAGGAGCTTCCGTGAGTCACGGCTCACTTCAGATCTGAAAAAGTAAGCAGTGACTCACGAAAGCTCCTACCCAACCACAAATTTTGTTAGCTTTTAAGATGCTGCTAGGAGCTGCGGTGGCTCAAGTGGTTAAGACGCTGAACTGCAGGCTGTGGAAGGTCAGCAGTTCGAGACCCGAGTGTGCCGCATGATGGAGTGAGCTCCCGTCTCTAGTTCCAGCTCCTGCCAACCTAGCAGTTCGAAAGCAAGAAATTGCAAGTAGATAAACAGGTACCCCTTCGGTGGGAAGGTAACAGCGTTCCGTGTGGTGTTTAGTCATGCCAGCCACATGACCACGGAAACTTCTTCGGACAGCGCTGGCAATTCGGCTTGGAAACGGAGATGAGCACCGCAACCCTAGAGTCGGACTCGACTGGCTTTCGAGCAAGGGAACCTTTACCTTTTTAAGATGCTGCTGGACTTTTTTTTTGCTCTTTTTTACTGCTACAGACAGACTAAATCGGCTACCCATCTTGATCTGTCTCTCAGTTATGTATCTGTAATGTGGGGGATAATGATATTGGTCTACCTTACAGGACTTTTGTAAAGATGGGAAGAAGACAAGGTGTTTATTGTACAAGAGGGGTGCTTGCTGGCCAGCCCCATAGCTCCCTGCTCTCACAATATTTAATGGTAATTTTGATTACAGAATGAGCAGTTCTACCTCTTGTCAAAAGAGCTGCTGCAGTACCAGATGAAGCAGCAGCAAGAGCAGTCATTGTTTTTTTTTCTTTTGGTGAACTGTGGCTGAAATTAGTAGGGTTGCCAGATCCAGGTTGGGAAATTCCTGGAGATTTGGGGATGGAGTCTGGGGAAGATAGGGACCTGAGAGTGGGGTTCAGTGCCATAGAGTCCACCCTTCAAATAGGATTTATACCCCACCTTTCAATCAGTCTCTCAGAGCAGCGTACAATCTCCTTTACCTTCCCCTCCCCACAAAAGATACTCTATGAGGTAGGTGGGGCCAGGGCCAGATTTAGACTTGCTGAGGCCCTAAGCTATACGAAACCCAGAGGCCCCCTACTGTTTTAAATTACATCAGCTGGTCTCAGAAAAAATTAAAATATATACGCCTTTTTAATATTTGAAAATATATTGTCTTTTAATTTTTATTAAAAAATAATAAAGGATGTGTTTACAAAATCACAGGAATAATTACGTAATAAAAGGGTTTTAAAATGACAAATAAGGCTCATAGAACAGAACGTTTTAAATTAAAATAGGAAAATAAAAGTAAATGCTAGAAAATAAGAGATTACAAACATTTTCTAAATAATGATTTAAAAAATTAATTAAAAATTATTTAGGTATTAAAGATAAAAAATTAATACGTTTTTGAGAGAGGAAAAAACTTCCTGAACAAGATCTCTTCTGTGCAATCAGCCAGAATTTATCAATCAACTCTACAACATGTCTTGACCCCAAGATTGCCCCCCCCCCCGGCATACAGCCTTATAAAGCAAATCAACCCCCCGTCATATAAATTGTCATTCTAACACACTCCAGCAATAACAAGGCTACCCTATATCATACATACAATCATGAGATCACTGAACAGAAGATCTGGTTCCGTGATCTCTTGCATGATGTATGGTAGCCCCACTACTACCAGAAAACATCAAAATGACAATTTATATTACAAAAAAGCCAATTTGCTCCATAAAACTGTACAACTGAAGAAGGCCCCAATCCCAGGGCCGAAACCCGCAGAAGATCCAATTAATAAATACCAGCTGATCACCCAAAAAATACCCCATTCAAAAAGTCTTCCTCCCTTTCAAAAACGTAAAACTATATTAAACCCCCTATTCAAAAATTTAATATTTCTTTTGATATATTTGAGCTTGTCTTAATAACTTCTTGTGGGAACATTCTGAATTTCGTAAAAATCAGTTGACAATTAATTTATTTTGAAAATGAGGCCTAATGAGCCCTCCCCATTCAAAAATATAGGGCTATTTTTGGATTTCTTTTGATATATTTGAGTTTGTCTTAATGACTTATGTGAACATTTTGAATTTCATAAAAATCCGTTGACAATATTAATCTAATTTGAAAATGAACCCTATTCAAAAATATAAGTGTCTTTTTGAATTAATTTTAATAGATTTGAGTTCATTTTTAAAAGTTATGAAAACATGTTGAATGTCATAAAAATTGCTGATAAAGAGACCGCAAGAGGGGGTCCAGGGGGCGGCCTCCTGGCTAGGCTCTGGGAGAGTGCCCTGGCCTTGGGCACTCAGCGTCAATTTGCTGTGGCGACCTCAGCAGGATATAATGTCTCCAGAGGAACTGATTTCTGCTACCTGAAGAGCAGTTGTAATTTTGAGTGATCTTCAGCCCTCACCTGCAGATTGGCAACAATTGTTACCCAGGAGGAAATGGCTGGTTTGGAGGGTGGAGTCTATGGCATTGTACCTGTCTGAGGTCCAACCCCTCCTCAAACCTCACCCTCTCCAGGTTCCATCCCTCAAATCTCCAGGAATTTCCCACCTGGAGTTGGCAACCCTATCTACTTCTCAGCCACTCATCAACCTACCTTTATTTCTCCCTCACTGTTCAGCTTTCCCTCTCTCTCCCCCCCGTAGCCTCTACTGTGCTCTGAAGCCCTGACAGCCATGTCACATTGGCTGTCATGGGGGGGGGGGGGGGCATCCCTAAAGCAGCTTACATCATTCTCCTCTCCCCCTTTTGACTTGCACAACAATCCTGTGAGGTAGGTTAGGCTGAAAGTCTGTGACTGGTCCAAAATCACCCACTCAGCTTCTACAGCAAGAACCTGGATCTAGCAGACCCTGCTCTGAAGCACTGACTCCTAC